GAGTACGGTTTAACGATAGCTTAGCCTAGCGCGGATGCGAGTAGGTAGATATATAGCCTAGATCTATAAGTATTCTAGCGAGTCTGTTGTCTGCGAGGCCGGTTACTACGATATGCTTACCTACCTTCGGAAGAAGGCTCGCATTAACGTAAATAGACGAAGAGTCGATAATTGCGGGTAATTCGTTTAGAGAAGTAAGCGCTTGCGATTTCGGTAATATGCCGCGTATTAGTGTAGGTAGATCTTTACCGGGTACACGTATCGGTTAAGAGTTACTCTAAGTAGTATGCTTGCACTTAGAGCTTACTCTTTTAACTAATCTTCGTACGTAGGCGGGTTCTCGACTAAAGCCGCGGCTATTATAACTCTACCCTTTCCCTTAACGTACTTACGGAAGGGAAATAGCGGGCATTCCTTCTATATTCGTATATGCTTGCTATCGCGGTAGGCAAAGTAGGTCTCTCTAGACTTAAATAAGGGCTCGGTAACAGGCTTGTACTTATACTTCTTGCTATTAACCGTTATAGGCTAATCGTAATTATCGCGCATATCTTCGTTAGTCTAGTAAAGTATCTTCTTTAGGCGAGCGTTCTTATCGTCTTTGTTTTTATCCTTATCCTTCGAGGCGTTGTTGCTCTTACTGCTACCGCTAGCGGCTGCTAACTTCTTCTAAAGCTTCTAGCGGATTGTGTTAACATCGTAGATGCGTAGCTTATCCCGTATTATAAGGAGTAAGGTAAAGAACTTCGATCGGATTGAATGCTCGAAGTTTTTATTAAGCTTGTCGTATAAGTTGTCTATTATCTCCTCGTCGTTGTTACCGAAACTAAGGAATAGTTAATAGTAGATAAAGCGTAGCTAGAAGTTCGAAAAGGACTCTTCCTTGCCTTACTAGAGGTTCGTAAATTTAGTACGCTTCGTATACTTCTAGTATTAATCGCCTTAGCGTTCTTCTATAAACTAAAGGGCCTCTTAATAGGTAGAGAATAAATCAATTACTAGCTCGAGGTAATTAAAAGCATTAGAGGTAGTATTATCTAGCACTGCCCGAATCTTCTTTCTCTCGGATTTCTTGCTCTCTCTAAGGGTAAATAGTATCTTGCTCTTCTATTCGCGGAAAGGTATATCCTTATCCTTAGCCTTGTCGTCGGCAGCGTAGATTGCTAGCAGCTTAGTAGACTTATCTTTGCGTCTGTACCTCCGGTTACGACTGTCGTAGCGGCGGCGGCCTCGACGATCGTCTTCTAAGGACGAGCTGCTATTAGGGCTTAATACGGGATCGTCGTTGTCCTCTTCGGTTACGGTATAGGCGTCTTTAAGTTGCTTACGGGCTATACGCTCGCGATCGAGACGCGTCTAGAGCGGCGTATTGCGAGAGCTCTTCGTTGCAACCTTCTATATACGGCCGGTACTACTAGCGGCTTTGTTCTAGCGCGCTATAAAGTAAATAGCCTTATCGTTATTAGAGTCTCGTTCGAATTAGGCGAGGAGGTCTTCGTTATCTGTCTATAGCTTCTACTTCTTATAGCGCTCGGTAGGCGTATGCCCGGCGTTAGTACGAGCAGCATTAGTATTAGCAGTTGCTAGCAGTGCTTGCAAACCCTTAACTTTAGTTTGAAGCTTGTTAATATTAGCTTTGTCTTCGTCTCGGATGTACCGATATCTAGCGATACGGTCTTAGGCAGTCTTAAGAGCCGGCTCGTATCGCTTGTTCTTCTTAGTTAGCTCTTTTACCTAAACAGCAAGGGCGTTGTTAGCGTTCTTAAGGTAGCTATTGCGGGTAATAGCGCTATCTCGTTTCTTCTTAGTCCGCTCGATCTTATCGATAGCGTCTTATAGAATAGCTAGCTAATTAGCGAACAGAAGGACAGTATTATCTAGCACGTTAAGCTACTTGTCTAGGTATTGCTATATACGTACAGATAGGTTATTAGTATCTATAATGCCGCGGAAGTGCTTCGGATTATAACGAAGGACTGCTTTACTAGCTTAGGTATAGTCGTCGGGTATAAACTCTAAGAAATCGAGGTATAGACCTAGACGAGCTCTAGTGCCTTGTTCCTTATTTAGAATAATACGACTAGAGCCGTCGCCTAAGCCTAAGTAGGTACCGCGTAGCTTAGACTTGTTTCTTAACGACTTAACTAAGCGTAGAGAGTATAGTAGAGATAGGAGCTAAGAACCGTAAGATTTACGCTTACGCCGGCTCTCCCTACTACGACGCGGTAGAGCGTTGTCTTCTCTACTAGTATCGAGGCGCGGCACGCGCTTGCCTCTTACTAGCTTCTTAGCGAGAAAGTCGTCCTCGTCCTCTAAGAAGCGCGCATTATCGATATCTAGATCGGTACGGCCGGTATAGCTAGCACCTATAATTTCCTTAAGCTCTTCCTATATATATTAACCTAGCTTAGGTTTACCGATAGGCGCGTCGTTACTACCTTCCTCTTCCTTATCCGATAGGTCGTCGTAAGGATCGCTACTAAAGTCGAGAGATCTATCGTTAGGAGGATCTAGATTTAGGTTTAATTGCTCTCGTAGAGTCTTAGACTAAGTAGACTACTAGTTGTTACTGCTATGCTATAGAACTAGCGGTAGAGGCATGCTAGCCGTCCGCTACTAGGATATACTATTGTCCTTACCTAATAACTTATTGTTATTGTTGCTAAGGTAGGCGAATGTATCTTCTATCTATAAAGAGTCTATTCGACTATGCTTACGTTTGTAATACTATACCGTTTATATAGTAATTGACGCGCTCTAGGCGTTAGGTCTACGTACGAGTAGGACTAAGATACGACACTATTAAGTACCTAATAATAGTCGTGTCTCGATCTATTTAGGGATCTTCGAGAAATGTTATAGGCGGCAACTAAGTAGTTTAAAACGAGTTCTCGAAGATAGCTATCTACGAGAGAAGCGTACAACGCTAAAGGAAGCGTAAAAGCAACGCTAAGAATTGATGCCTAAGGCATCTACAACTAGGAATGGGAGGGTTACCCCGTAACAGTTCTATAAGCATTAAATTATCGTTAGTCGTATAAAAGAGAAGGATAATAGCAAGAAACAGAGCGTAATCGACTTCTTAGCTACTATTAGGAAGAACGTAGATATTAAGGCATAGAAGACCGTTAATATACTAAAGAACGTAGCGGATAAGAAGACCTTTAGATACGCTCTTACTCGCTTTGTTATAGTACTTAGTGTCTTATATAGTACTATTGTAACGAAGGAGTTCAATAACCTAATACTAGCAGTTAACCTATAAGCTAAACACGTACTTCTACGCTTATATACGACCCTCTTTAGCTATATTCTTTATAACTTCGAGTATTAGCGAGAGCGCGTTAAACAAGCCTTATTAGGCGCCTTAAGCTGTATCTACGTTAGTACTAATACATAGAAGGCTTAGTATAGCAGGAAGCACTTCTAGGCTATTAATTGCTAGTATGTTAACAATAAGGGCAAGTTGGTTTAAGTACTACTAGATTTTCTACCGCTTCTAGTCGGTTCTTATATAGGCGACTTCCTCGCGCTACTACTTATTAATAGCTTTAAGGTCTTTAATATAATAGACAAGATCGGCTAGATAACGGCTAATAATAGCTCTAATAACAAGACCCTCTATATAGCCGTAGAGACCTTTATTTAAGCAGAAGGCTATAGCTACTTCCGGAAGCGCTATCTACGCTATATTAGCTACATTATCAACCGGATAACGCAGGCATTTATATTCGCTAAGAATAAAGAGTCTACCGAGAGCGAGGAGTTTAAACTGTCTATAATAGACTCGGATAGCGATATAGTATCTATCTCGAAGTAGCTAGATATAGACGTAGACTCCTTTGCTAAGCAAGGTCTATTATAACGGCTATTCTTATTCGCTAAGCTTCTACGCTAGAACGACAACTTTAACGTATTTAAGGAGGTGTATAAGGCATAGCCTTCACTGCCTACTACAACACCTAAGATTCTAGGTAAAACACGCTAGAATAGATAGCTCCTTATAATTAAGGAGGCACTACAAACGAGGCTAATATTAAATAGCTTCTTCGATAGAATGCCGCACTTAAGGGACGCTTAGCTTACTACCGAAGAATAGTCTATTCTATAGTATACTTATAACTTCCTTATACTATTTAAAGAGGTTACTCTTAAGCTATAAGGCTACGTAGTAACACTAGATTAGTACTAAGAAGCTATAGAGTATATAAGAAGCTACCTTACTCGGTTAGCGGAAGACAATACTCGGCGTTAACCTCTTGTCCGTTCAATTTAGCTAGTAAGATAGCTATTCGATAAATACTATCGACTTAACTAATAGACCTGCGTCTATACCGCGGCAGTCCTTCTATATCTAACTCGAAGGCTCGCGTAGTTAAATAAGTGCTTAGCAATTAATATAGACGCCGCCTTATTAGAAGCTAGAGGTCTATAGCAAGACTACAAATAACGCTATAGATATAGCACTCCTTACTTAACTTCTAAGCGCAACCTCGAAGGTCTTACTAACCTAGAACGGTAGCAAATACAGTTATAAGCCGACCTTGTTGCTAGCGACGAGGATGCCTTCGAAGCCTTTATCTATAGACTACCGATTAGCCTTCTAATCGTCGGTAAAGACTATAATAATAGGCCTATTTCTATAATACTAATTAAGTAGTAGATATAGCAACAATCGGCTAATCTAGCACTCGTACGGCTTGCTATCGACCTATTGTCCGCATTCGCTATATCCGTAGAGTCCGAGCGGACCTTTAGTAAGAGCCGGCGTACGATATTATAGGAGTAGTTATTACTTAGTAGTAACACTATAGTCTATCCGGATAAGTGAGTGTTCAAAGAGTTAGTAGTCTATAGGCCTTACTTATATACTATTAGAAGGGCTATATTTACTAGAAGGCGCAGAGCACGAAGATAATATATTAATAACTGCTAATAACGACTACAGTCTTTGAAATAGCACCCTTCTTAACTATAACGCTTACTACTATAGTGATTATATGATTATAGCGATTGTGATTAACGATTAATCACTCACCTAAGATTGTGATTATAGTGACGGTCAGGTGATTGTGATTAATCAACAGTCAACAGCTGTGCTCAGGATATAGAAGATGGATGTCATGTGCAAGGTTGAAAGGGAGAGCAGGACCTTCCGTGTCCATCTCGTCACCATTCAGTACTCCCCATTCAGCATCTCCTCTGCGAGCATAGAACTGCGAGGAGTCCTCCCGGTGAAATTTGACTTCGCTCCCTGCCACCTGAGCCCTGGTGATTCGATAAAGTACTTGCTCGAAACTGCTTCTCAAAGACCCTCTGATCGCAGTCGAAACAATTACCTACGCGTCTCCTCCAATCACGGAAACCATCCTCATCCCTAATAGCATGCAGTGAGTCGATTCAGATGTGTTTCAACACTCTGTAGCTGTGGGTGTTTCTTGGAAAGTCTAAAAGACGGCTCAGAGAAGCGATCGTCTTTTCCAAGCTCTTCTCTTGAAGCAGGAGCACTTCTCCAGAACTTATCTACAAGCAGCTCATCTCCATATTCGCCGTCGGCTGAGTAACGCGCTCGTCGTTCAGCTCAGCATAGATCTCATTGCTGCTTCCTCAACTCCCTTTCGAGCCAAACTTCGAGCAACTCCCTTGTTCTCTTATCCTCTTCCTTCTCGGCAATAGCATCGCTTTCTCGCCACAGGTGAATGATACCAAACGCGACCTCAATGCAGATGAGACCGATGATCATCCACTCGAGCATGGTACCGTGCTTCTCAGACAACCTCTCTCTCAAGACAGTGGCGATTTCACCAGCATAGTCCATTTTCTCATTCAAAACCTTGATTCTCACGCCAACGTCCAGTGCCTTGCCGACCATTTCGTAGTAACCCTCTAAGCCGAGCTCATGAGGAGAATCCCAGAAGAGATCAGGTAAGCTATCCGTGAGCTCAGAGTAGAGGTTGAGTTGAGCTCGGATCAAGAGCAGCTCGCCTGTCTTCCGCAAAATTTGAGAGCGTGTATATTTGAGCGGCTTCCCTGTTGACAGGGTTTGCGGGATGGCCATTGTGGTGCTGAAGTAATGCGAGAGGCTATTTTCGAGCACGGCAAGCTTAGTGCTTCTTGCCAAAGCAGATGAGAAGGCAATCTTGGCCAGGACAGTGTCGACCTCTGGCGTTCGTTGATTCTCGCCATCTGATGACGAGTTCTCGGGCTCGGTCGCTTTTGTGCCCAAGATGATGGTGTCGCCGACGATACGACTTGACTCTTTCGTCTCATCTTCGATATATTCCAGGTCTTCCACTTCCATCCGATCCAAATGTCCTGTATCGGCAGCAGCAGGAGGCAGAAAGCGTTCGACGATGTTGTGCGCCAGCCGATCTGGCACGTTCCATGCCACTACGCAGCCAGATGGGAAGACGAAGACGTCGCCTGCACCTTGCGCTTTCTCTTCACTCGTGCTCCCTTCTTTGCTGACATAGTTCGGTGTCTGAACATGCAGCACCTGGGGAAAGAGGTTGGTTCCAAACGGGTCTGCTTTATAGCCTTCTCGATCCAGCTCCCACCGTGCTCGGCTGAGGTTGTATTTCTCGGCTGCGCAATAGGCAGTTACATCTTTCGTCTCGATTTCTGGATTCACCCATTGCTTCGTCCCAGTGCCCGTGATCAGCTTCCTGCTTCTCTGAGCCTCTACGGCGACCTTTCTAAGCGAATTGTTGGTATTCCGCTTCGGGCCGGCTTTTCGCTTCCTGTTCTCTTTCTCTGCTGCAGCATCTTGATTCTGCTGTTTCAATGTGCGGTTGGTGGTAAAGTGGTTTCGCGGGAGCTTGCGACCATGTGCAGTCGCGGTGGAAGTGAGGCCCTGGTGTGGAGCTTGCTGAAGGTTTCGGTATGGCGATGATCGCGTCGCAGGCAGAGTTGTAAGGGATCTTTTGACGATGGATCTGAAGGCGATGAAGGTAGCAGCCTTATTCATCGTCGACTCTTTCACATCAAATCAAAGTATTTAATGCTGATTGGGGTTCAGTACCAAAGTGTCTCTGGAAACGGCGGATCGACCGCGTCTCGTGTCGGGCTCGGCAAGCGACATCATCGCCAACCTTGAAGCAGGCATAGCTTTGATCCTACACAAACACGTCCTTCCCAGGCAATACGACTATGCGATAGAATCACACGAGAGGCGCGGATACGATCGCCTCGATGCGTAATGCAGCATGTCTGCGCAGCTCCCACAGACGGAGAAGAAAGAGGACCGGGACAGAACGAAACGCGATGAGTCCTCCGCGGCTCCCGCCAACGACGATGGCGACGATGAGGAAGCGGAGGAGGAAGACGAGGACGATGAGGAGCCCAAGCTGAAATACGCAAAGCTGACTGGGAATCTGGCAAATGTATACCGCGCGGACTCTACGAGCGCCTTCCTGGTGACAGGAGACAAGATGGTCGTAGGCACGCATAATGGTAGCATACACGTATTTGCCGTGCCGACCATGGAGAGCTTGAGGACGTATAGGGCACATTCAGCAATGGTAACAGCTGTTGATGTCAGTCCGAGGCCGCCGAAACCTGTACTGGTAAGATCAGAGACTGGCAATGCGACACTTTTTGGCACGCCTGGATCGCAACCGAAACCACCACCGCTGTCAAGGACGAGTACGCGGATGAACAGCCCGAAAGCATCGCAACGACCCCAACAGACTGCCGTACCGAATACGCCGAATAATCAAATCTACATTGCAACCAGTTCTCAAGATGGCCATGTCTGTATACAGAATCTCGTGGATCCTCAGGATGTACAGTTACGCAACTTCGCCAGACCAGTCAATGCCATCGCAATGTCGCCAGAGTACAGGACTGATCGGATGTATCTTTCTGGAGGCTTGGCAGGCAAACTTATTCTCACAGCGGGAGGCAAGGCAGGAGTGACAACAGAGGCCAACACCAACAGTGCTGCAGCTGCAGCTTCAGGATGGCTTGGTGCAATTGGTTTGGGCGGCGGTACTGGGACGGACACCAGTCTTCATTCTGGGGAAGGTGCGATCAGCAACATTAAGTGGAGTCTGAGCGGAAAGTGGGTGGTCTGGGTCAATGAGGAGGGCATCAAGATCATGCGAACACATCTACACCTTGGCAGTGAGCACCAGGAAGACGCATGGAAAAGGATCGCACACGCTGCGAAGCCCAATCGGAGAGTCTGGGAAGACATGGCGACAGTATGGAAGGCCCGATGTGAGTGGATCGACGAGCAGAGCTTGGAGAGTGATGAGCTTGCCACTGGAGGCGGCCATGACGAAGGCACAAACGGCATCAATGGTAGCAGTGCAGCACATAACACGCCAAGCAAGGGCAAGAAGAAGATAGAGAAGCTCGTGGTTGGATGGGGCGACACTGCTTGGATACTACACGTCCAATCTGGGAGTTCCACGCCTGCAGGTCCAATTTCCAAGCGCCAGGTTGGCAGTGCAGACATCATCCACAAACTGCAATTCCGAGACTGTATTATCTCCGGCATCAGCCTGTACACGCCATCTTTGCTCGCAATCCTGGCCTACCGGACACGAGACGATGACGACAGACCGATTCAGCTGCCGGGCGATAAAGACTCGAAGCCTGAACGGAGAGGACGGCAGCATCGACACACTGGACTCGCGCCTCATCTGCGGCTGGTTACAGTGGCAAATGGCGAAGAAGTCGAGCTTGACGAGCTTTCCATGTCGCGATATGAGACACTCACGGCCCAAGACTACCATCTTGGCACATCATACATGCCACCGCCATTACCAGAAAAAGCTGCTCGTGAGCAGAGAGGCAAGTTAGAAGGAATCTGGGATGCTACTCGAGATATGACTGTCAATGCTGCAGTCACGAGCGGAGGCTACGCCACCCGAATTTTCTCTTCCAGCGCAAGCGTTTTCAGCTCCGGCAGCGATGGGAAGGAGACGGATGGTAGAACAATGTCATTCACCTCCAGTGGCCGCCCAGGCTCTGCACGAGATGCGACAGTAACGCCTGAACGAAGACGAGTTGACGCACATCCGTACGCACTAGAACCAGGACTCAAAGTCTTCATTCACAGTCCTTACGACTGTGTCATGGCCGTCAAGCGAGAGCTCTCCGACCACCTCGAACGGCTGCTTGAGCATCATCAGTACGGAGAAGCTTGGCACCTCATCGACGAGCATCCTGAAGCCGTGGACACATTAGATACGCAGGCTTCTGCATCAGATCCAACGTCGCCGACCAAGGGCGTGAACAGCAATGGTAGCTTGGCTGACTTTTTCGCATCGGACTCGGACTCACAAGCGACAGGCACGACAGCACTGCGAGCGCACAACTCATCCGCACAGAAGGAGAAGCGGCGGATTGGTGATCTCTGGCTCTCACAACTCGTTGCATTAGAAGACTGGGAAAAAGCCGGTCAGGTCGCCGGGGTGGTGCTTGGCACGAGTGCAAGGTGGGAGCACTGGGTGTGGACTTTCGCTCAGGCGAACAGATTTGATGAGATTACACCCTACATTCCCTCAACCTCTCTCAGGCCGCCGTTGCCAAGCTTGGTATATGAGGTCATTCTCGGCCACTACATCGTCAAAGATGCGACGCGATTGGTCGGCCTGCTGGATCAATGGGACCCAGAGCTCTTCGACGTACGAAGTGTAATTTCCGCAATTGAAGATCGACTGGAGTCCGGAGAAGTTGCTGAAGACAGCGTAGAGGGTGGCGTCAAGGGCCGGGATTGGCGACTCCTGATGGAATCGTTGGGTAAGCTCTACCTGGCGGATGGCAGAGCAAAGGACGCCCTCCGCTGCTTCGTTGCTCTTCAGGATGCCGAAAGAGCATTTACACTGATCAAAGAAGATAAGTTGATTGATGCCGTGGCCGATGATGTACCTGGCCTGCTCATGCTTCGGGTGACGAAAGAGCAGATGCGCTCTGCACCGCTCTCGGAATTGGAAGAGGCCAGCTCTGAAGCCGTCCAGTTGCTTGTCGATGAAGCAATCCGAGGCACGATACCTGCGCCTGAAGTCATTCGGCAGCTCCAGCGCAAAGGCGACGGTTTTCAGCCTTTCCTCTTCTTCTACTTCCGGGCGCTTTGGAATGCTAGTAGTAGCACAGCGACACCCTTGCCACGAGGAAAGGCTAATCAGAGAGGAGAAGAAGGTCGAATGTTGGTTGAGGACAATGCCGACCTTGCCATTCGTCTCTTCGCCGAATACGATCGCGACTTGCTGCTGACATTTCTGAAACGCAGCGAGGTCTATAGCTTCGATAAGGCCGCAGAAATATGCGAGAGACGACACTACATACCCGAACTTGTCCACATCTATAGCAAGACTGGTCAGACTAGGCGCGCACTTAACCTCATCATTGGAGAGCTTGGCGACGTCAGGCAGGCTATCGAATTTGCGAAGGAAAATCCAGATCTGTGGGAAGACCTGCTCGAGTACAGCATGGGCAAGCCGACTTTCATTCGAGGTCTACTCGAAGAGGTCGGCGCTGCTGCTGCATTCAACCCTATTGATGTCGTGAGAAGGATACCCGAAGGTCTGGAAATTGAGGGTCTCAAGCATGGTATCCAGCGTCTGGTGCGAGAATTTGAGATTCAGCTTTCCATCTCTGAAGGCGTTGCCAAAGTGCTGCGAGGCGAAGTGAGCACAGGCATGGACACACTCCGAGCCGGTCGTAAGAAGGGCGTGAGATTCGAGGTCATCCACGACTTGGCACCAACGAAGGTGGAGCTGAAAGTGCACGATGTGCCGACCAAAGTTCCTGATGGAGATGCACTGCCTGTGCCCAAGCCGAGGAGGAAGAGTGATGCGCATAGACCTGCCGAGCTCGGATGCTGTGTCGGCTGTGGTGAGGCCTTCATTGAGAATGGTAAGTTCGCAGTATCAGCACATCGAGAACGCTTGCTGACTTCCTTCGTAGAAAAAGAAACCCTCATCGGCTTCGCATGCGGTCACGTTTACCACCTCTCTTGCCTCCTTGACGCGAATCCAGATACGCGCGGAACCGACGAAGCGGAAGATATCATCCGACAAATGCACCGTGCTGCTGACGAAGGCGAGGAAGGAGGATACAGTGGTCGAAGTGTCGGCGCAAAGGTCGCTCATGCGCACATCATTGGCAATGTGGTCAAAGGTGGATGTCAGAGGTGTATGATACCCGAAGGTGCATGAAGTGATGTTGGAAGAGTTCGGGTGGATGAAGAAGACGACAGTAAGACGCTTTGGCGCGAAACATCAGCATGTGTGCAAAAGATCCGAATCGAAGATACCCTTTTCGTCATGCCGTTGGGCAGATGGGCGGAGCGAAGTTGAAGCGTAGCGTCTGTCTGTATGGTTTCATTCTGAACATATTTGAGAGTTAATATGATATTCACTAGAACTCATGCAAGACGCGATCAAAATGCATGTCCACCGCCGTATTCATCGAATGGTTTTCGATTATGCATGGGCCAGGACTGAGGACGTGCAGACTACGCCATCGAGCCGTGAATGACGGTCGAGACGACCAAGTGATGCATGAGGTTTGCCAAGTCTGGCGGTGGCCTGGATCTTCCCGCCTCAACTCAAACTTTCATCGACTTCACGTCTTGTAGTCCCACGCATCATTGACTTCGTTGCTCTACATCAACAGTCCTTGCCCATCATATTTGGGGCCGGAGATACATGCTGATTGTGCTGACCACTTGCCGAACTGGACCTTTAAGCCATAGCTGGTATGCTCAAAAGCCGTCCGGTTTCACGAAGTCGTATCTGCTGTCTGATTAGGATCTCGCGCCGGTGCCAATTTTTGGCCAAGGTAGATTGCAAACACGGTTGGAATTAAAATGATAGGGGATCGCAACACTTAACTCCGAGAGCTTCGAGTCACTACACAACCACAATATGCAACAGGTCCGAAGGCGAGCGCAAAGCCATCGTCAATATTCCGAGCGAGTCTAAAGTACAAGGTGAGGTTAGCATATGCATCCTCACCTTCATTTATACACGCTCCGGACACTGCGAACAACCGAATTACGTTGCTTGCCTAGGCATTAGTGCCAGTTCTGCTGACTTGTGGAATCTACAGCCCATATCGTACAATCATAGCGATTCGGAGATGGGTGAATTCAGTTGACCCGATACTTCACCTGCAACGCTTCTAGCTTTTAACGCACACAAGATTCGTTAAGCTTGCAGTCGAGCGCAAAGCTTCCCTCAATAATCGGAGTGAGCGTGCGAGGACTGACCTGTAGTGAAGTTGGCGAGAGCAGATTCAATCTTACTTTTCTACGCTCCGACCTGGAGCCTCATACGTAAAGTGATGTGTAAGGACTAGAGCGAGGACTCACCTGAGGTGAAGTTGGCGATAGCGTCTTCGACCTCACCTACACACACTCCGAAAACTCGAAAGAAAGAAAAGATAATGCTTGGGAATACGGTGGCGCCAACTCTTCTAGCTTCTAGAAGCTGCAGCCGATTTCAACTCGTTTGTGCTCGTGGTAATTCATGCATGCTCCAATAACAAAACTCAATCCTCCTGCGTAAGATCCATCAGGTCGTCTGGATTGGCTGCAATCTTCTCCCTCTCAGCCCACGCCTGGCGACGACCGTCCTTGAATCCCACCGCATAACCCTGATCTGTAAGTCCTGCAGCATGTCCATCGGCATGTCCATTAGTATATCCCTGAGCATGGCCTAGCTGGAAGCCTTCCTCCTTGATCGCCAGATCTCTCGCAGCAAGCAGATCTTTGCGAACCATGACATCGCCCGCAACTCCTGTACGCTCATACACAGCCTGACGAACGAGTCTCCGAGCCTTCTGGTCGTCGTTTCCAGTCTTCTCCACCAGCTTCCGACAATTTTCTAGCCAAGAGCTAGAGAGATTCTGTGGGTTGGGGGGAAAGTCGCTAGGTTTGGTGGAGAATGGGATGATGTCGTGGATGTCAAGGCCGGAAAGATTTCTGAATCGGGTGATCTCGTTGTCTCTCATGTTCCGTTCTCGTGGTGGTACGAAGTTATAGATCATGATGTCGCCGATGCTACGAGGGTTTGATGCTGGCATGATGTTCTGGTCCCACTGACGTTGTGTGTATCCGGTCGCATGCCGTAGAGCACGATTTATCGTAGTTGTGGGGTCCTCATGATACTGATATGCATAGTGTTGGTCCTGCATTGTGGTTGAAATATGTCTTGGGTGAGATGTCTCAGGTAATATGACTTAGGTCGAGATGGTTCAGATATGCGTTGAGAGATATGTCTTAGACCAAGATGCTTTGGACGTTGTCGGTCGATGTAGGTCGAGGTGTCGATGCAGATTTAGCAGTTGAAAGGTAATAAATGATTTTAAAGAAGATATGAGAGCCACGACAAGGGCCAGCGTGCCTGTGACTGTTCATGCGTAGTGCTTGTGAAGCGCGCCCCTTCACCACGCTGCCACGTTTACCAAATTGAGTGAAGGCATTGCAGGTCTTCCGACGGCAAGGTAACAAAGTGTTTGTGATTCTGGGAAAGAGGCGATGGAGATTGTCACAACTTCCTGCGGCGTTATTGCTTCGGCCTGATTCTAGAGAAGAAGGGAGACACTTGATACCTACCGCGAGTCCATTTCGCACCTGATCTCGATCGTAAGATCTTTCTATACATTTGGTCCTTCGACTTTTTCAGATTGACCAAGTTAAGAGTAGGTGGCGGAAGAGTCAGAGAGTGCGTAACTTGCGCTGCTAGGTATCATGGAAAACTGAGTAGGGGCGACATGTGCCTGCCAGATTTCCCTAGAAAAGCTCTGCTTTATTCTCGTAGCGAAGCTAATGTCTGCCAAATAACTAATAAATGATGGGGGTTTGGAGCTCCGGAAACCGGGCTCGTGCAATGCGCAATATGTCCTCATTCTTGAGATGATATCCTTCAAGAACGCTATAGCAGTTCCTGCCTGGAGCATAGGAAGAAATATGCTCCAGTAGAAGTGCTTACGTTCCTGGTCTGATAGCTCATCTGAGCTCAAGCGCCCAAGTCTCGAAAGCTGTCGCTTGGATCAACGACGACCTTTCCTGCGCTCTCTACGGGAAGATGTGGGTGCTAGACGTTGCCTCTTGGGCATACGGTCTTCTTGCGACGTGTCCTCTGTATCATATTCGTTACTCCGCTTGGTCCCTCTTGTGGATGGTGCGGATTGCTCAACGAAATCTTGAGTGGGCGCGGTTTCGTCGCTACCAGCTGCCATCATGATATCTTCCGTTGGCGGTGAGCGTACGTCGATTGCATCATTTCCAGATTCGGCATTTTGTGTAGTGTTGGCGTCGAGTTCTTCGCCCTCGAGATGGTTTAGCCATGTGGCATTATCAGGATCGGGCGACTCCAATTCGTGCCAGAGTCGAGCTGAGAAAATGAGATCCCTCCTGGTCTTTTCTTCAACAGCAATGATCTTAGCACGTTCAAGAAGCGAGATAGACAATGCAGCCTGCCCAGATTCTTGAATTGTGCGCTGAATGAGCTCTCGAGCACGTTCGACATTCCAGTCAGTCTCCTGGAGAAGCTCGCGAATCTTGAGAGCCCAGGCGTGGAGTTGAGCGTACGAAGGGGACTCTTTTGTGACCACATAGCCTCTATTGATGAACCGGAAGTTGTTACCAACCGTTTGTTTGAGTAGCTCCACGAAGGGTGCATCGAGGAGACTTTCGAGGGAGCGGGAATCATCGAAAGAAAGAGAGGCCGCGGCCAAAACACTTAGACTCCCGTAAGCCTGAAGCAAAATTTCGTATTCGAAAACACGTGTTTCTCTGTCCAGATTGTGTGCCTCATAGGCTGCTTGAATATGGCTCTGAATGTCACGAATGGTGATATTGCTGCTTAGCAATGCCGAGATCTGCTTAAGAAGTCTGAGTATGATCAGCGCCCAATTCTTGGAGTCCTCATCGAAGTAAGGCTCATTGACGTATTTTCGAATCGATCGGAGACACGGGGGAATGAGATCCAAGGGACCACCGGGAGTGCCAAGGTTGCGGGCGATCTCTTTAATGATTTGCACATGCTGGCTGCGGACGCCCACTGGGCCTTGATTTTTCAGCTTCATGATGAGACAGGTAGTGAGGTCGAGGCAGTGATCTGTTGGTTTGCGAGACAAGTCTCAGGATGCTTGATCTTCGAGGGTGGTAGTGACTTATAAGGTGTGACCTGGGTAGGCTCTCTTTGAAAGTCTGTAGAGGAAGAAGCGAATACTAAGCAGCCAGAAAGATTAAATACCAAATCAGCCGTGAGTCCAGTGATGGCTGCAACTGTTCACTTCCCTCCAGACTTGGAGATGCCGCAGCAAATGCCATTGTTGGGACCGGACATAGCCTTTGAACTCGAGCCCGTCAAGGTTATTGGCGATCGTAATTGGTGCGTTTCCGGGGCAGCGAATGAAGGTTGTTATCTCGAGTAGGCGCCTGTGGCTCCAGTGAAGCTCTTCCAGGCTGGGTTGCACGTCTGCTAAGTCTCGTGATACCAGGAGAGGACGCTGTAATGCGAGGTTGTTCTGTCGGGAATGGTAGCAAGATATTCCCCAAGGAGTAACTCCAGCAGCCTGTTCGATTTCCTGCCACAGTACTTCTTACGAGCATCGGTGTATCTTGCAAGCCGACCAACAGCAAAAGAGCTGGGCTGCAGTAAACGCATTCTTTCATCCCCTTCAAAAGCTGTGAACGTCAGTGTTCGCATTGCGGCCGCCCGTAAAATGCCGTACTATCATATATGGGAATCTCTGTTTGTAAGTATATATGTACACGTCCCAAGCTACGCCTACCATGCCCTGGTATTCGTTTATGCGGTCGACTGCACCGGCACATCAATTCCATATCGCTCCTTGATGCGCTCTGCTCTTCGCTGCTCATAGCCTGGTCCGTAAATGCCTGCAGAAATGTCAGTACTACTTTGGAGTCGATGGAGATTCCTGCTACGATCTGCATCGCCGCATCCTGTCCGCAGTCTCATCAGTGTACGCACCTCTTCCCTCTCCCAGCTCATTTATGGTCTCCTCAATCGGCCGTCTCCTGTTTTTCCGCATGTACTCTTTCCGGCTGACCTCATCTACTCCATCGTCAAGTCTTGTTCCCATAAATCGCCCACCTGTATAGTTGAAAGCAGCTAGAATGACTGCGAAGCCTGCGCCGTAACCCAGAGACGCTGCCAAGGAGCGGGCTAGTCATCATATGTTAGGGAGTTTGCCTTCTGAATTGACCATGGCTCTCACGTACATCCCAGACCAAGCACACTTCCACCGAAGAAGCCACCGATAGCATTATTCCAGCTATCGTCCTTCTGTCTCAGGTTTGCTGATGCTGTCTTGGCGAATGCGTATGCTCCTCCAATACCAGCTGCACCGTCATCAGCTCTTCGATTCGCGCCAAGAGGTAGCTCTTTTCACCTCGTCCTTACCAAAAGCTGCGATTGTGCCTCCCGTCCGTGTAAAGACACCCAATGCGCCGACATTCTGCTTTTTGAGGGTGTTCTGGATGGACGACACGAACAGACCTGCACCGCCGGTCGCCAGGGTCGCACGGATCGTCTCGCCTATCGCATCCTTGGGATGATATTGGTGTTCTTCTTGCTCTGCCATTGCGGTGGTAAACAATAGCAGAACAGGCGTGTGAGAGAGGAGAGTGTCGAGAATGTCGCTGTCGTCGCGGAGCCCAATGCTGCTCTCGCGGATGAAGTTGCTTACCGTCGATGAGTTAGGGCTGATCGGCTAGCGACCCCTGCAAGCCGAGCGTGGTGGCTTGAACTCAAAGCGCTCTCTGGCTTCAACTCGAGGCTGCTGTGTATCCGTCTGATCATCAAAGAAAACACGACTGCAACTTCTCTTGCATCGACAAGAGACTTCGCCATAACCATGATACGAACTTCATAACACTACCTTTACATCGCACACATCATGCCAATCCGGCGACGACGACCACCGAGGCCGGGCGCACTCGCGGATCTGGCCCCTTTGCGCATCCTCACCCAGATCGTGCTTTTGCAGATGTTCTATTATATGTCGGGCATCGTGCTGATTGTATTCACCACCTTCGTCGCGGGGCGTCACATGGATCCGGGATATGTCTTTGACTGGAGAAATGTGAGAGGAGATGTGACTACTGGATGGACTCTTGGACTGTGCTGGATGCTGGACAGTCTGGTAACGTATGACAATAAGAAAAGAGCTGTAAAATGAGGCTCACACGATGCTGATGATGTGTACAGCGTGATTCCTATTCTCCTCCTGATTGCGCGCTCAAAACTGGTTCCGGACTTTGTGCTTACTATCCATTTTATCAATCTCATAATCACCTCGCTATACACACGCGCGATACCTTCGAATATCACCTGGTGGCTTGTGCAGATCGCGTCATCTGCACTTATGATCTCGCTGGGCATGTGGGCTTGTCAGTGGCGCGAACTCAGACCTATGGCTTTTGGGGGAAAGCCGAAAGACGTAGCAGCAGCAGAGAACAGACACGCGCCAGAAGAAGGCGAAGGATATGAGATGGGAAGTCGTTGCGACGGAGGACGAGATGGCGCCGGAAACTACGAAATGGTTGAAATGCCGAACAGAGAAGCTGGATGAGGCGATCATGCATGTTCGGCTACGAGACACTACAATGCGGCACGAAAATGCCGGCACTCATGCTTCACCCATAGCACGACGACAAGCTTTGGCAACGGGCCCCTCTCTATGAGTGGCACTGATAGCTTTCGACTTCCTTGCCACCCAACCAGAATCGATCATGCTCATCGCTAAACTTTACAAGCCCATCGGTTTTGGAGAAAGAGATCTTCCGCTGCTCCGAATTGCCACGGTTTCGACCCCGTGTCCTGTTCGGTGCTGTCCATATTTCACACCAGATCCGGTCAAGCTCTTCCGGCGCTGCAAGTGAAGGAGTCGTATGTATCAGGGTCGTGATCCTCGCTGTATGCGGATGTAGTGGCAGCAGAGGTGAATCGCCTTGGGAGTCATTAGCACGCAGACATGAGCCCCATGCGACGCCCGAAATCACTCACGAGTAAAGACTTTCCTTCCTAGCGGCAACCAAAAATGGACAACTTCGACATCTGTACCCGCTGTGGTGAACAGCACTCCAACAGAGTTCTGCGCTGCATCATAGTAGTGCGAAGTCGCTTGCGAGAATACCGGTGCTTTTGGCACTGCAAGCCGTTGCTGTTTGGGGCCAAGCTTGTCGTACGCTTCTGCAATACTAGGTTGCAGCCTCGAAGGAATAAGTGATTTCGCATACGCTGTGGCAAGTAGGAAACTGCTCAGGATGAGCTCGAAAATATGCATGCGCATCTTGTTGGTGAAGGATGATTTCGAAAACTGATGTAGGACTGGAACCAGATATCTGCACACTTGATCGTGTTCGATCTAGGTCTGTTGATATGTGAGATGCAGACAAGCTCGATGCTGTCGTGAAGGAGGGAGCAGCTGCAAATCCGGGCCGGACTGGAGATCCGGAGTCGAAAGTTCGTTCCAACGCCAGCAACCACGACGTCGGGAAATGGCGAAGCAGGAAGAGGCCACAGCATCAACAATAAAATACCGTAGCAGTCATGAACACAAGCCCAGGGGTACGCTACCCGGGCAGCATGCACACGCGCTTTGCTGGAATGTCAATGCCAATGCGCGTAGTGACACGTGCAACGTCAGACCCAAGCCCGTTTGCCAAGATGGGACAAGTCGCAAGTCGTGTAACTCTTGACCACCGGATCAGTTGCACGAATATCTCGCACAGAGATAATAGCAAGCCAGCACCAGGAGGACAGACTCAGATTGAAATGGAAAGCAATCCGATGTTGGTGTTGAACTCAGACAGAACATTTGAACTCAATCCGGAAAAATGTTTCGGCTTATGCCAAGCTTTCATTACAGTATCATTGCACAGCGCAGAAGTACATACATGTTCCGTGAACGAAGAACCAAGACCCAACAGCCTCCCACCTTCACCGTGGACAGACAGACCGAGGAGGATGATTGCAAGGAAAGTAGCGAAAAAGAAGGTCATGAACTCATTCTCGTCGGGTACCAGCCGTCAAAGCTTCAAAACAGAGAAGTCTTTCTTTCATAGGCACAAGAAATTGAAAGCAGGACGAAGAAGAATCCGGGGGAAAGAAGGAAAGTATCTAGTCTAGAATAGAGCCGTGTATGGGACACAGTCACTTCTCTCGTGCATCAATGGCTTTCAGCCAAACCAACGCCATGAATTACACTGTACGCTCTATGATACGCTCTGCACCTTCCGCCACTCATCTCTTAGTTTGTGGCGGGTATACATGTATGTCGAGAATGCAATTCATAAAATCCTATGCGCTATAATCGTAGTCCTGTCACTCCACGCTTCGTGCTTCCTGTGCATCACGGTCGTAAAGTAAGTAGTATCGTATCCAACCAACAACTCCCTTCCTCCCATCTTCAGAGCTTCTTCTTACTCTCACCCTCCCCTCTCACCAAACTCCCTAGCCCAATCCTCAAATTCCTTTAACCCCGCCTTACTCACACTCGGTCGAATATTTCCCAAACTCGCCTCGAAATCTTGCAACCCAATCGGTCGGATTTCATCAGGTCTCATGTGCAGTAATCTCTCGCCGAGACTTCGAAGTGGACCCATAGCAGCGTCTTTGGCCAGAGCTGTGATATCGCTTCCACTAAAGCCATCGGTCAGAGCGACGAGTTGTTTCAGTTCGCGGTCCTTCAAACTGTGCTTTTGGGCAGCGAGTAGAGTTCGCAATTGTTGTTCGCGAACCCAATCCTCGGGTAGTGGAATGTATTGACGTCTGACGAAACGTCGTCGGGCGGCTTCGTCGATTGCCCATGGGGTATTTGTGGCTGCTAGGACGAGGACACGCGAGGCATCGCCTTCGGATGATTCCCGGCCTGCTGCAGCTTTTTGGAGATCGGACCATTGAATCAGGAATTCGGTTTTGATGCGGCGGGTGGCTTCGTGTTCGCTACTTCCGCCTCTTGAGCCTAGGAGAGAGTCGATCTCGTCGACGAATATGATGCTAGGCGCGAGTTCTTTAGCTAGGACGAAGAGAGCTCGCACGAGCTTTTCGCTTTCTCCGAGGTACTTGCTCGTCAGACTGCTGGCTGAGATGGCGAAGAAGACTGATTTACTTTCTGTGGCAACAGCACGGGCAAGCATGGTTTTGCCTGTTCCTGGTGGCCCGAAGAGCAGCATGCCTCGTGCAGGTTCGCGAAGGCCCATGAATAAATCGGGTCGCAGAAAGGGATATACGACAGTTTCCTTGAGGGCGGACTTGGCAATTTCGAGCCCAGCTACGTCGTCCCAGTGTACTTCATCTCCTTGAATGACGATCTCGTTGAAAATCTGTTTCGCTGACCACTCATCAACGCCTTTCGGCAGCTTCTTCATGATTTTCTTGACGCGCTTTTCCCATTGATCCTTTTCACTCGGACTCTCCGCATTATCAGAATCGCCATTCTCATCCGTCGATGGCGGGGTCATTGCGCGAGCGGGCACAGGTTTGCCTTCAATCTTCTTCTTCGTAGTCTGCTTTCGCGGTATGGCATCGGGACTGCTGCTGAGATAATCAGGCTGTACTTGTCCTCGAGTGCGGCTTGTGAGGTGTGCTTGCATGTTGTCTAGTTTCTGGCGCTCGGCGGTGGCACTAACAACGCCAGCTGCTCTGCCAACCGCTTTGCGAGGGATGCCTGGTTGCGGACTTGTGCTGGCCTGAATAATCCTTCCTGCTTTGGATGAAGGTCCAGCTGAGTCAGAACTTCGCCTTACCATCTTGCCTGGTACTGGTGGGGCGGCCTTTTTGAGTTTTGCAGGATTCAAAGGAGGATTGTTTGGATATTCCTTCATGTACGAAAGTGAGGTCGGTGGCATTTGGGCGAGACTGGTGGGCTGAGACGGCTGTTCGGTTGGGGTCGGAGGAGTAACTTTGTGCGGTGGCGGAGGCGGAGGAGGCCTGGCTGTTTCTACCGAATCGTCGCTCTGGCTGAACGACTGCTGCGCGTATGGGTTAAGAAGTGGATAGTCTGGATAAGGCAGCGGATGGTTCCTTGTATGGCTGATATCCTCAAACGAGCTTCTGCTTCCACGAGGCCTATAATCGGAGGGACTTGGAGGTCGCACAGCAGGTATATCAGACATCCTTCGCACATCTTGCTGTGAAGAGTCTTGCCGCACTAGCGTTCTCCGTAGCGGATCCCATGTCGTTGTTGTTGCTGGTGCCGCAGAGCTCTCACCGATCGGAGGAGGTCCGCTCCACACTGAGGATGCCGCTTTCGCTGCAGCTGGCTGCGGCTTGTTTCGCATACTCGAAGCCATTTTGCCCGACTTTTGGTTTGATCTCAGAGTCTTCAGCATGCCTCCACTCTTCTTCTCAGGACTTGGCGTCCTGCCTCTCTGGCGTTCTCCAGGAATGGGTGGGGTCAGACGAGGACTCGGGCTCGCATTGGACTGCAGACTTCTAGTCCGTGGTGAGTCCACTGTGCCTGAACTGCTCTTCTTGCTGATGAGGGAAGGTCGCGGCGGCTGTGGTGGCGGTCTTCGCGAATCGGTCATGGCCTGGGGTCGCGGGATATCTGAGTATGTTCTCTGGGGAACAGTGTTTGCTCCCAGCCAAGTCGTGCCTTGGCCATTTGAATTTGGGAGAGTGGGCATTTGCGTGAGCGCGGGCGCTGATTGCAAGGACAAGGAAGCCAGGGACTCGCGACTCTTGTTGGAAAGCGCATCCCCGTTCACAGCAGCAGCTGCTTTGGCCTCTTTCGCTTCCTTCTCTGCCTCCAACCTACTCTTCTTCAGTGCATCCAGCAGATCTACGCGCTCTTTACACTGCAACTCCATGGCTCGCAGCGAATCCTGCAGTGCCTTTTCCGTTTCGGTTCGAGGGACGTAGTTGGAGGGCATCTTGTAGGCATTGTGGTAGTAGATGTGGTCCAGCGCATTGCGCCATGATCGCAGAGCTTCGTCTTCATTATTCTGTAGCAGTACCGCTAGTCAGTATGTTATGTCCTCAATCTTGCCAGCACAGCCTCGCAAGGGCATAGTTCTATCCCGTACCTGGCCCTCGAAGTAGATTGCGGTGGAACAGATCAGATAGCACTCGTCATAAGTCTTCTGCATGGAACTCGACGGCGCCTTTCTCATCATGGTCACGTCGTGAACGGCCGGCAGGGGAAAGGCTGGCAGTAACGAGAGAGAAATGCTGCATCAAAGGACCAGCCTCCGAGTGTTGGTAGAAGGAGTACTGTGCAGTGCTACAGCCAACAATGACGCAGCTTTGGGCTCTGGCAAGGACAAGCCACGAGACGAGACAAGCCACTCTCCACGCCACGTCGTGATTCAGCCAAGGCAAGGCCCAGCAGACGCATCACCACATCAAAACGCGACATCCATCTATCTCAGCCTGGGACAGATACAGTGGAGGTGGATTGTGAAGGAGAGTGTCGAACTGAAGTCGCAGGCAATGAGAGCCTGGCGACGGCGACCAGCACCATGCGCCGCGCCCTCATCTGACACCGCTTGCAGGCGACCCTTCACCAGCTCACGTGCACTTCAGCGACAGGCTTCCATCGCACATGTCTTGCGGAGTAATGCACAGCAAGATGAAATCGAGGTGACCGGATGGGTGCGCTCGGTGCGGACGCAGAAGCGAGTCGCATTCGTGCATCTTGGAGATGGATCCACGACTGAGCCCCTGCAGGCTGTGCTGAAGCCTGTGCACGCGGCAGAGTAGGTGAGGTCAGCCCAATCCTACTTCTGATGCTGCTGACACTCCTCAGTCTCTCATACGGCTCGGCAATCAGCTTGAAAGGTCTCTGGCAAGCCTCGACGGGAGGCAAGCAACGCCATGAACTGCAAGTCTCCAGTATTCGCGTGCTGGGCGAAAACAATGCTGAGAGCAATCCGCTGCAACCAAAGTATCAGACTGCAGAGTATCTGCGCACCATCCCGCATCTGCGCCCGCGCATACCCACCAATTCTCTGCTGCTTAGGCTCCGTTCGCAAGTCATAGCCACGATCACGGCATTCTTCAACGAGGAAGGCTTCGTGCAGACACATACGCCTATCATCACCTCCTCAGACTGTGAGGGCGCCGGTCAGGTCTTCACTGTTTCCTCCAATGCCTCCAAGCAGTCTGGCCAGAAGTCGAACCCGCACACGGAAGCTCAGGTAGAGCACTTCTTCCGAAACCCAAAGTATCTGACCGTGTCCGCCCAACTCCACCTGGAAGCACTTGCCCAAGCCGTGGAGAAGGTGTGGACGCTTTCTCCAGCTTTCCGAGCAGAGCATAGTGACACGCCGCGGCACTTGAGCGAGTTCTACATGCTGGAAGCTGAGCTGTGCTTCGTTGAAGACATGGCATCAGTCATGCACCTTGTCGAAAGAATGCTTCGTACAGTCGCCATCAATTTGTCATCCTCCTCCCTTGGCAGAGAATTGGCACAAAGCAAGCACTGGCTTGATATGCCTGCAGCAGAACATGTCCCGCGCAGCTCGGACCAAGATCTTCTGCAAAAGCGATGGAAAGGTATGGCCGCCGAGAACTGGCCGCGCATCACCTATCACCATGCCATTCAGCATCTTCAAACAGCTGCGAGCGAAAACAAGATCGCATTTGCATTCAAGCCGACCATCGAAGACGGCTTGCAAGCAGAACACGAACGCTACCTAGCACAATCCATCGGCCAAGGCACACCTGTCTTCGTGACGGATTACCCAATCCACCAGAAACCCTTCTACATGCCACCCTCAACGACCACTGCAAACAGCAAGGGCACTTCCGAAACAGCAGCATGTTTCGATTTGCTCGTGCCAGATTTGTGTGAGCTCGTGGGTGGTTCGATGCGTGAACATCGATCAGAACATCTACTTGCTGCCATGAGAAGGAAAGGAGTTGCAGGAGAGAACCTTGAATGGTATCAAGATCTGCGAAAATATGGAAGTGTGCCTCACGGAGGCTTCGGACTAGGCTTTGATCGACTGTTATGCTATCTCAGCGGCGTCGGCAGCGTTCGCGACATCGTGGCTTTTCCGCGATGGTATGGTCGCTGCGATTGCTGATTTTCTCGCACCGCTATGATACCTTGCCTTCTACCACAGACCATGACCTGGCCCCAGTAGGGAGTGCACAGGTCTGCTCACCAAAGCTTGTTCAATTCCCATCAAACGTCCCACTTTGCCATGCCCACCCAATTCATGGAGAATATTTAGACCGTCTCGATCGACATGCATCTCAAACGCTCGAAAAAGCAGAATCATCCCCGACCTACTGCGTAAGCTTCACACCTTCCCATCAAGCTTCACAGCCTTAGCCACACCATACCTCCGCTCAGCACGTTCAATCTCCAGCGCCCCAATCCTCCGTTTTCTCGAAATCCCTGGATCTCTCGAGAAATCCTTCTCGAAGGGAGTCTCGTGGTAGACATCCTCAAGTTCTTCTTCGGCTCTCAGTGCTTCCAGGTCGAACTCGACTTCCTCCAGAAGACACTTCTTCCCTTCCAGCGACGTACGCTCTTGCTCTGTGCTCTCTTCCGCAAGGATTTTTCGGTAGTTGCGCTTTGCCCGCGCAATCGCTATTTGGTGTTTCAGTTCTTCGTCGGCGTCTGGAGGTGGAGGTGGAGGCAGTGGTGACGGTGCCTTGCCGGCCGACGTTCTTGCTTTGGTCGAATTGTCTTTCGTGGCGACAGGTGGCGAAGAGGAAGGTGGAAGTTGTTGGAGCCTCGATTCGCTCTTCGGTCGGTGATTCCCTGACATCTCGTCTCGTGCTTTAGCACCTCCACTGAAGGCTACGCCGGTATCTTTGACCTGAGACCTTTGATGAAGCAATGCCGCTATGGAGCTGAGCTGACCAAATGCGGGCACTTCCACGTTCGTTGGTAGTGTGCTGGGATAACTCTTCCTTCGCGATTCCGATGTTGATTGCTTCAGACACCTCAGTAGGATCTTCAGAAGGACAGTATCCCAATTGCCCTGAGCTCTGTCAAGGTCTGGCCACAGTGCAATGGGAATAAAGCCAACAAGCTTCTCTCGGGGCACGATTTCCAAGATCTTGCTCAGGGCCTCAGCGCGCTCGTCACGGCCTGAACTACTCAGGTCTATGAAGCGGGTGTGGTTGATGCGAGGATTGTGCCCGTAAATCTCCACTACCTCCTCCCAGACGCGATCAGCGACCGTGAACCTTTCGAATTCAGTGCCCACGGATGGTTCCATGAAACAGGACAGTAGCCGGGTGCATATTGCGCATCGGTGTGCTGAAACCCTTCACGTCGAGAACTTTTGCAGATATAGGCCTGGGAAGAAGTCAGTAGCACTGTCTTTGCGCATCGATGTACAGCTTGAATGAATTCCCAATTTCTGCATAGTACGCCGACCACGAAAGCCAATGACAACGTATCAGTATGAAGCATGACTGCAGTAGGCTTGAGACATGCATCGTCGTTCGCAGCTCACTAAATGCCATGCCCCCGTGATACAAACACTGCTGCCGGCGGCATGCAGTGAACGCAGCGCATGAGAACCTCATGTCCACAAGCCGCGTCCACGACTGCCTCCGATCAGGCAGACGAGTACAGCATACAGTCATATAGGTGGTTCAGAGCAGCTTGCTCGCGGGTATTTGCAGCTTTCCAAACGCGCTGCGGGTCCAGAATGCAGACGGCTTCAAGTGGCGGTCAAGATAGGAAGGGCTGACTAGATCTGGAATATCCATTTACGATGTTCTCTCCGTTCCTGAGATATGTAAACACTGCGCTGCTATTACTCATGCTCTTGTCTACTCCTAGCTCTTGCCGGACTTGCTTCTCTTATGAACCACAACGAGCGACCTCTACCGTAGCACGCATCGCATCGCATCTCGCTTGCAGTAGTTTCGCTCTTGTGAATTACATTCGCGATGGTAGACGGCGGGGGAACTGTTCTTCTAGGCGGCGTTGGAAGATGTTGATATTGTGTTGTTGTCGTGCGAGAAGTCGATCCCAGCGATAGAATATCAAACCTTAGTCCCATGTCTTGGCATTCGCGATCTGTGGTTCACACAACAGTGGAATGCCAGACATGGACCTTGCCATACGCAAAGTTCCCTAGAGAGAGAACTTCAAAACCCCTGGAACAATTAGTACTCTCACTAGAAGATCGTTTCTCATTCCTCATACTGATTATAGAAATCAATCTAGACCTTAGGTGCAGCAGAAACCTCCGTCCTAGCCACAATTTCCCTCTCGATCCTCTCACGTCTGTGCTCTTCAGCTTCGGAACTAATATCCTTAAAGACTCTGTCCATATCCTCCAAGCTCTTGCCATTCGTCTCCGGAACGAAAAAGAACGTCCACACACCGCTCAACAAACAGAACACCGCGAAGAACACATAAGCTCCATACCCAGTATTCTGCACCAGAGGCGGTGTAATGAGCCCGATGATAAAGTTGTTAAACCAGTTAGAGCACGTCGAGAGCGCCACTCCTTTGGCCCGGAGACTCGAGGGGAAGATCTCAGCAGGCATGGCCCAAGGTACCGGACCCCAAGAAGCTCCGAAAGCGATCATGTAGAAAAAGAGCATTGCAACGCTAGCCCAGCCTTCTGCGCGGTGCGCAGGCCAATTTCCGGAGAATTTGCCGACGAGGATGGAGATGATGAGGTGAGCGACGAACATTGCTGCGCTGCCTGCCATGAGCAAAGGTCTTCGTCCAAAACGGTCCATGGTCCAGAGCGAGGAAGTCACGCCCACTAGTTGGAGGCAATTGAGGACACCGGACATGATGAGGCGCATGTTGTAGTCTAGACCCATGGTTTCGAAGAGCGTTGGGCTGTAGTAGATCAAGGCATTTATGCCAACCTGTATTGCATCAGAGGTCCGTTCAGGTACAGTTAACATAGTAGTATGCTTTAGGACCACTTACGAACTGCTGGAAGAACATGATTCCAACACCAACATGTGTACGTCTATAGCAACCTCGCTTGAAGCAATCCAGCCAAGAAGCGATTTCAAGCTTGAAGCGACTCGTCTTGGATCCATCTTGCAGCTTTGGATGCCTCTCAGTACTGATCTCTTTATGAAGTGCGACCTCGGCACGAATATCGAACCATTCTAGCTGGACACGACGGTCCGTTGGTGGCAGCTGACGTAGCTTAGCAAGATTGAGAAGGGCTTCTTCGTCTCTTCCTTTAGATGCGAGCCAGCGTGGCGAGAATGGTAGAAATAAGATTCCTATGCCGAGAACGAATCCGGGAATAAGCTGAAGGAGGAATGGCAGTCTCCAGGCCCATTCTCCGGCCATGTAGTAAGTACCATAAGTAATCCAAAAAGCGATGACAATCCCAGTCACAATCGAGAACTCCTCGAGCACAAGCAAAGATCCTCTGATCTCAGGTGGACTGATCTCAGAAATGTAAAGTGGCGCAACCATGGAGAGCATACCTGGTAAGCTCAGTCAGCATATGCTCGCTTCGTATACTCGTATACTTACCAATCCCAAGACCACCAATAAACCTCGCCACAACAAGCATAGCATAATCCATAGCCGCAGTCTGCAAAACACTCCCAACCGTGAATACCACCACAGCAATCACAATCGAATACTTTCTCGAATACTTATCCGCGATCCAACCCTGATTCAACGCTCCGATCAAAGCACCCAACTCGATCATCGCCGTCAACAAACCCTTCCAGAATCCCGCCGACCCAGAGCCTTCGGCGATTCGTGTGAAGCGTTGTAGGAATTGTTGTTCGACCAGAATTACGGAGACGACGCCTTGATCGTAGCCGAAAAGTAGACCTCCGATTGCTGAGAAAGCCGCGCACAGTGCGACGTAGTAGCTTGTGAAGAGACCGCGGAAACCTGGATGGCAGTATGTTTCTCGAGTTTCGAGATGTGGGAGGCCGCCCGTGGTTCGGATTTCTTTGAGGGTTGCGTCTTGGCTGTCTTGTCGGTCAGGTTTTTGGGGTTCGTCATGTGAAATCGTGGTCGCCATGTTGGAAGTCGAAGGGCTGAGTGCTGTGAGAATTTTGGAGTCGGTGCGGGTTTTCTGTCCGGAACAACGGTTGAAGAGTGTGCGATACTGTGATGACTCTGTTTGGTCGCTTTTTCGGAGTCGGAGGATGTTTGATCAATTTCTACAGCGATTTTTGTGGATCCAGTGCAGTTTCAAGTCGTCTGTAATTGCTTTTTCGATGTCGCTGGTGTCACGCGACGATGTCCGCAGGATCGCTCGACGCTTCTCGAGCGCTTTTCATGCTATCTTCAGATCAATGCTCGTACTTACTTGCAATCGATGGCAGTCGCCGAAGACATCGGGTCATGACGGCGTTTCTTCGTAGGAAGCAGAGTGATACCCATAGAAGTTGCCACAAAAATGGATAGCTTTCATCTAGGAGCAACGTTTCTCCCCAGAGTACGTCTCCACCTCCGCTCCGGAGAAAAAGTTACGTCCTCTATACCCACTGTTTTGAGATTAGGGTGCAGTCACGTTGCAGTCGTTGTCGGCTTCTGCTCACGCGACGTGCATATTGCGACGTCAGCGATGGATTTCACACGCCGATATGTTGCACAGATATACAGAGTAGATGAATGTTTGAGGGTTTCCTGATTGCGGCATGCCGTCGGCGAGGCTCGGAGAAAGTTCTCTTCCTATTCTAGCGCTCGGATGGTCGAAGCCGATCGATCTTTCTGCCACAGACAGGACAGGTCAGCAATGCACGTCTCTTTGAGGGCAGCAGTGGAGCAGATGGAATCCATTGATCGGTATCAGGTGCATGCAGAGTACAGGGTTGAGCACCGCAAAGCGCGTTCTTCGAGGAGGAGGTCCAGAAGTCGAGCGGAGCGGATGAATGGAGTGCAGGAAGTACAGGTGCTGCCCAGTAGAGGGATTTCGCCACGCCTTTTGATGCCGCTCTAGGTGCCGCTCCAGCCCCTAATGTAGACTAGGGCGGCCTAATAAGGAAGTGAACAGTGCGCGTGCACGTGTCACCTTCAGCTGCCGCTCCAGCGCTGGAGCGGCCGCTCTAGCGCCGGATTAGGTCGTAAGTGAGTGAATATAGCTTAGCGTAGTGGAAGTAGCCGCAGGTGCTGACGTCGGGCCATTCATAAGAAGCGGAAAGAGACCGAATACTAGGCTTATTCGAGACCTTGGCGGCTATAATCAGGAGCTGGAGCGGCACCTAGAGCGGCATCAAAAGGCGTGGCGAAATCCCTCTAGTGTGTTGTTGAAGTCCGCCTGGGGCGTCGGCGGGCGGATGGCAGGGATCAGGGAGAGTGTTTTCCCTTTCCTTTCACTCTGCCCGGTGCCTCTGCAGCTTGTGTTTTGTAGATGGTGTCGCTGTACGGCGTATGGGTCCGAGACATGTTATCCGCGGAGCGACATATATATATATATATATATCCTTGGTTTGAGCGACCGGCGAGTTTCCTGACTCTTCACAGCAGCAGGTTTCAGATTCGCCAACGCCAGAAATGACGATCACCACAGGAGTCGTATTCGGAATGTACGATGCCCGTTGCAGTGAGTGTCATCAGGCCAACGAGTCAACGACTGCTATAAATAATAAGGGTACGCCCCGCACTGAGAGCCTCTACCTGCAAGAATATTAATCACTCGGGAAACCGAAAGTAATGTCAACCACTTGGTCATGTGAATCTTTGTACCTGCTATCCATGATCTGCGCTCATTACCTGCATTATTATTTGAAAACAAGCATTCTGCATCATCATGCCTCCAACAGCTGTCCATCGCCTAACTTACGAGAATTATCCCGAGAGAACGATCTCCACCGCATACCGTTTCTGCTCAACAACGACTGTCGAGTCGCATCACACTGCCAAGCCAGACCGCCTTGTGCTAGCTAGCCTCCTTTTGACCTCTCCATTCTTCCTACTCGTATGGCAAGAATGAATGAATCTACATTCACAGTGCTCGACAGCCAGGACTACTATAACGACCCACCTGCCCTCACTCTGCATCCTCTCGACGTCCTGTTGAAGCTCTTCGGGGCAATCTACGCTATGCGATAGCCATCGCTTGACGAACTCAAACAAGTCACTCTTTCGTCCAACTCGGTCGCGTTCATTATGCGCTCGAATATCTTCAAACATCGATCCAATCGCTCAACAGCTGGCGCCGGTGACTTTCAAACTCTGCGAACCAACTCCAGAGTTTCTCGACTCCACGATGCACAGGAAACACCGGCATCAGCAAGCTTGCGGTCTGCAGCCTCATTCGATCTTGGCAATCGACATGCCATTTACAACCATTCACGCTCCACAAGCACGACCTACATCGACTATCAAGACACGAACATCGACAAGCAGCTGGAGAGTGGCTCCCGTCCCCCACCGCCGGAAAGAGTCGTCTCTCTGAATCTCTTCCCAAGCACAGGATATCCAAGCTTGCAGCCAGCTCACCAAAATGCCAGCCCCGGCCAGAGCATGTCACACAAAAATGCATCTGTGCGGCAGCCGCCTGTGCCCAAGCTTATAGCGCCTCCGAAACAAGACACCCGAATGTCGCCTTGGCACGAAAGAGGGTTCATCTTCACCATCTGCCTCTCCCAGCTCTTCTCTCTGGCAGCGCTAGCGCAGTCGTTCGCACCTTTGCTCCTGATCGCCAAAGACTTTGGCGTCACCAATCCTGGACAAATGGCCTGGTTTACAGCATCTTACAGCATGACACTGGGCTCTTTCATCCTTCCAGCAGGAAGACTTGGAGACATGTATGGGCACAAGAAGATGTACCTAATCGGCTGGATCTGGTTCGCCGTCTCATCCGCAATTGCTGGTTTCTCTGGCCTCGTAGGTGGACACATCATGCTGAGTACCTGTCGTGGACTGCAAGGAATCGCTCCTGCACTGCTTGTGCCTAACGGAATTGCTCTGATTGGACGAACCTTCCCCATGGGACCTGAACGTGCTCGAGCAATCGCCCTCTTTGGCGGCTGCGGTCCAGTTGGCATGACGCTGGGAGTCGTCTTCTCCTCTCTAATAGCGGAAGTTTCGTGGTGGCCTGCATGTTTCTGGACTATGGCAATTGCTTGTGTATTCGCTTTCGGGTTGTCTTGGTCGATCATACCATCAAGTGAAGCTTGGCAAAAGCCAGCGAGTATGACCGAGTTCGACTTCTGGGGATCTCTGACAGGCGTAAGCGGCTTGATGCTGCTCAACTTCGTTCTCAATCAAGCTCCAATCGACGGCTGGGACACGGCATATATCCCAGTCACCCTGATTCTCAGTCTCGTCTTGCTCGGGATTTTCGCCTATGTGGAACTAAAAGTAGCAAAGGCGCCAATCGTACCTCTACAAGCCTTGGATCGCAAAGCGGTACTGACGATGGCTTGCATCGGGTTTGGGTGGGCATCGCATGGCATCTGGGCTTATTATCTCTACCTGTTCATTATGGTTATTCAAGGCTATCCACCTCTGAACGCCGCATCAAAGTCATGGCCGGTCGCGCCCATTGGCTTTTGTGCTGCCATTGCAGTGCCATATCTGCTGAAGAAGCTCAAAGTGCCCTGGGTAAGCTCGACACTGGTCATTGCGTAGTTCTCATACTAATCTTTTTGCCAGCTCATGACCAGTGCCATGCTGGTCTTCGTAATCAGTCCAGGTCTGCTGATCTTTGCCGACCCAGCAGACCCGTTTCCGGTCCCGATGATCATATCGATTCTCGTCGCGCCGCTGGCGATGAACTGGAGCTTTCCATCAGGCACAATCTTGATGTCCAACGCCCTACCGAAAGAGCATCAGGGCATCGGCGCGTCGTTGATTAGCACGGTATGTATTGCTGCCCTCGATTTGCCACCAAATGCTAAATGATGATTAGATGGTGAACTACTCAATAGCCACAGGCCTAGGCATTGGGGGCTCGATAGATCGATACACGAGTCACGGCTACACACCCTTGCACGGCTATCACAACGTGTGGTGGCTCGGCGTTGCTTTCGGCGCTGCAGGCGTAGTGACAAGCCTTTATTTTGTCTGGCAGTCGAGAACTCCCAAATAACTTGAGCGCGCTGCAAAATCCTTCACGCACGACGTAGAGATAGAGCTTGAAATGAGACCATGTTGACATGATGCACAGGACTTCTCTCTCAACATTCTGTGAACCTTTACTATCGTCTTCTGCGAAGAGGAAGATTCCCCCCATCCGCAGCATCCCGAACCCTTCACCTCTTACGCAGCAGAATCTCGATCGCACGCCATGCTCAAAACCATTTACCATTACTTGGACAACCATACGGCTGTCCGAGGCCGAAGATCAGTTCCGCCGTGCCCGGAGGATACCTAAGTCACCGGAAATCGTGTCAAGTGTGCGGATCGGTCTGTCCATGAGCACACACACACACAGGCGCCCACGACTTCGTTATACATATCCTTTGGAAGAGATTCAGCTGTGAGTGAAGAGCCGCCAATTCCCTGGCAAGCAAGCTTGAAATATCCATGCGTAGACTTGGTTTGAATCGCACACGGTTGCGCAGCGCACTTGTATGTGAATGGAGGGATCTGGAAAGAGGTTAGTGTTATATTGGGGTAGACGGGGGAGGTGGTTCACTCATTGTCGATGGGATGGGATCTAGTGAGGAGTTCCGACTTTATTATAGAATGCAACTGACCTGTGTTGGTGATGTCTGGCAATCGTTGGCGAGTTTGACGGCATCGGTGCGCGATATAGAACTATAATCAAAGGGAATCCAACTCCCGCAAAAGTCTCTGATCTAATTGAAGAGAATACGGTAGTTCTCACAGTAAAGCCGAACACATTCGAAGGTCTTTAAATATATAGGTTTCAAATGACATACCAACCAACCAGCACTTCGGATGATCCTTTCTTTTGACCCGCATGGCTGAGAGGCACTAGGGCTAGAAACACATCCTCGCTCCAATACACTCACACTCGCCCCACCAGAATCACTTCTTCAAGTCCAGAGAAGAATTTTGCAAGCATTGTCGTCCTCGTAAAGTCTCTATAATAGCACCTTAGGCACTCGCGCAGGAAGTGCCCGATATATCAACAAGCGACGATCTTCAAAAACCTCGTGAGGTCAAAGAACAAGAAAAAAGTCATCAGTCGTATCGTATCTACCACAGGAAAGAATCCAGAAATTCGGATACAGTACGCAACGCAGAGTCTGACGTTCACGCTTGGCTCTCCAGCTTCCCTTATCAGGCAACACAATCTATGTGTAAAGTCCATGAGATAAGGAATAATACCTTGGTCCCACAGCCACGCGGGCGACACGCTCCTAGCAGAATTTCGACTCCTGATCCGTGCAAGAGGAAGGCTCAATGTCCGGATTGATATGCAGGTCGCCTCGCATCTCCCAGGATGTGGCTTGTCTCTTGCACGATCAGCTACTATAAGCGATATCGTTATCGTGCACGCAAGCACTCTCGTAAAAATTTCTTTTATACTTGTCTTGTCAAGTCTTGTCGTAGTAATGTTGATATCAATAGGAAGGTGGCTCAGAGTTTCGTGTTTCCTCTATGCTCTCGTTCGTTCAGTTCAGTTCAGTTTCCTTCTCTCTTTTTGCCTACCATGGCAGATATGAAGTCCGAGAAGAAGTTGACGTCCATTGAACCAACTAATGGTGCTGAAGTCGAATCAGGTTTCATTGCCGCAGAAGTACTCTTGGACAAGAATGGGCACAAGCTGTGTCCTCAACCTGTAGAGGGAGACGCATTGGATCCGTTGAATTGGACATGGCTTCGGAAAAATGCTATACTCGGCATAGTCATGGCGCTGTACTTCATGTTCACCTACATCACAACGACCACTGTCCCTTCGTTTCCCGAATTGCAGACACGATACAATGCCTCTTTGGGCGAGATCAATTGGACTGTCGCGATTCCAGCTCTCGGGCTCTCGGTCGGACCTCTAATATGGTCTTCGCCCGCCGACATCATCGGAAGACGGCCGATCTTCATCATCGGCACGACCATGGCAATCGCTGCGACTATCGGCGCGGCATTGGCGGATGGGTATTCGGGATACATGGCTGCTCGGTTCTTCCAAGGTCTTGGGCTGTCTCCAGCCTCAACCGTTGGTCTCGCCATCATCAATGACCTCTTTTTCGAACACGAACGCGGTCAGAAGGTTGGGCTTTGGGTATTGGCAATTGATCTAGGTCTGCTGCTCGGTCCGCTCATAGGAGGATTTGTTGATTTAGCAGGGTCAACATGGATACAATGGGTGACTCTCATACTGCTTGGTGTCATTCTCGTAGCTGAGGTGTTGTTCCTGCCGGAGACGTTATACCCTCGCGACTTGATGTTGTCAAGACAGAGCAGCGCAAGAGCGATGTCAGAGAAAGATTCTGTTACTGAGGCTGCAGTGAAGCGAACGAAGAGCTTGGCATATGTTAATATCACACCACTGCCAGGAATGAAGCACCCCAAAGTTTGGGACACTCTGGTTCGATTTGGGAAGACGTTCAAATACGTTGTTGTTCCGATCGCAGTCATTTGCTACTCTTTCGGCTGGTACTGGTGGATCCTATCGGTCATCACAATGATTCCGGTGGCATATGCGTCCTACTCGCCGCAGACGCAGGGGCTCTTCTTCATTGGCTTGATCGTGGGCACACTATTCTCCGAGGCCTTCTGTTCCGGCAGCCTGAGCGACTGGCTGCTTGTCAAGCTCTCCAAACGTCCTGGCGCAAGCAGAAATCCGGAGATGCGAATCTGGCTTGTGTACCCAGCTGCAATTCTGTCTGCAGTGGGACTTATCATCTGGGGCATCTCCATTGATCGCAACTACCACTGGATCGTCGGCCAGGTCTCCTTCGCTTTGTGTAAGCCTTCCTGTCCATCTCATTTTATCCATTCTTTCATGCTGACTCTTCACAGTGGGTGCCGGAATCCAAATGGGCAACACCGCAGTCTGCGCTTATGTCGTCGATGCATACCCTCTGCAAAGCATGTCGGTCGTCGTCTTCTACGCAGTATCACTCAACCTCTCGGCATTCGTGGATCCATTCTTCATCGCGTACTGGGTCGATGGAGTTGGGTATACATGGACATTCGCAGGGCATGCTATTATCACTGTGTTCCTCTGCATTCCGGTGTTTGCGTTCTTGCACAAATTCGGCGGCGCAATCAGAGCGAAGAATGGCAAGCCGAGCTGGGTTAATCCAGAATTCGATCACGATATTGTTGCTGCGTTTGAGTGGGGATAGCTGTAGTGTTCCAAGAGAGAGCCAACGAGCCAGCCTGTTCCCTCCCACAATAGAACTATTACCTCAAATACCACAGCGATACAGGTGTCTCAGTCTTCACACACGTCCATTGTCGGCCGGAAACCTAAGTGGGGCTCGAACGCGAAGGCCTGAAGAGGAAAGGTTGTTTAGGATCAGGAACACGAGATCCGGTCTTTTCGTGCACATTCTCTGCAAGGATGAAGATTTATACATTCAGGGCGTGAATCTATAATGGAGTGCTGTTGAAGCGAACTTAGGAGAGGAAAGCCCTGCGCTGCGAAAACGAAGGAGGATCTGCAATAGAAACGCTGCTTCGGATGCCAAGTCGCATTGCTCACAGCATCGTCTTTGCCAGGGATGGAGAGAACGAGAGCTATTTCTAAGAGCGGAAAGCATCAAGTCGGCATCGCTCTGACTGAGCCCGTACCAAAGCCGCCGCCCTGCGCTCGAGATGGTGCGCGCGAATTTTTTGCAGAAGCGCCGCCGCTCTTGCTAGACGCAGATGTCCTCTTTCTGCCTGTCCCAGATCCAGAGCCAGAGCCTGGTGCATAGCGACCGCCACGACTGCCGCCAGAGAACTTGCGACGATATGTATTTTCGTCATTGGCTTTGTTGGCGGCTCGAATGCTGTAGTTCTTGCCTTTCCTAGAGGTCGACTTCTCCGCAGCTTGTGACTCCGCTCTCGCTTTATTCGCCGATTGTGACATTCCTGCGAGCCGATTGTTGAAGTCTTCAACATCTGGTGCCTTGTACTGAGCAACGGAAAAGTATTGACTCTCCACACCCTCTTCCTCGTCATCTACGAAGTCTTCGAATTCTTTTCCTCCCTCGTCCTCGTCTTCGCTCACGAGGTCGATGACATTCTGATGGTTGGGATCGAGCGGCTGTTCATCGTCATCGCCATCGTCTTCCAGCTCTGCTTGCGCGCCCATAATCTCCCGATAATGGTCATGATACTTCTTGACGAGTTTGCAGAAGAGCTCACCCCATCGATCGACTCGTTCTCGATCGATGTTCGGGATACGAAGCATTTGTTCTGGCGTCTCTGTCCAGCGTATTGCCATTTGTCGTAATATCGTATTGGTGAACGGTTGGCTTTTCAGGTGGAAGTTCTGGTTCATCAGAGTCTTGCACTTCTCCTCAGCTTCTTGCTCAAATTGTGCTACGAAATCCTTGTGGAGCTCAGAGAGATTGCTCATGGTGTCGTCGATCGTGATAGTCCTTCCACGCGGTTGTGGTGCGATTCTTTTACGCTGTGGTTTGATGGGCTGTGGGGCAGGTGCGTAGTACTCATCATCAGTTTCAGTCTCAGCATCTTCGCCAAAGCTGTCTTCGCTTGGATCGTCGACAACGAAGCCATCACGCTCGTAGTCATTGGCCTGCCGGCTCTGTCTGACATTTGACTGAGCAGCAGCCTTCTTGCGCTTGGACACAGCCTGCACTGGTGACGATACATTGGTCGACATTGGAAGTGCTTTCACTGTCGTATCATCGCCCCTCCTCTTCATCGGTTTCTTGACAATCTTCGTAGCGCGCGGTGAGCTTCGAATCAGCATTTTCAGTCTTGCCTTGCCCGGAGCAAAGTCATTGCATCGGCGGCCAAGGTTGACGTACGATAGGACAAATCCTCTCTTGTTCTTGTGACTCTCTTCGACGATTGCTTGTTCGTTCACCAGGCGGTAGAACAGTCGTTCTACATCGCCACGATCGAGGTCTTCGCCTTTACCGAAATGGGCAACTTTCTCGTGTTTAGCATCTCGTCCCTTCTTGGTATTGGCCCCGCGGAACATGTCGATGCAGTGCAGAATCGTGACTTTCTGATCTCGAAGCTCTCTCACGAGACTGATAGCGTCGCGAGCGTGCTGAGTATAGTCCACTTCCTCGAAAGTTGATCCTGAAGTGCAATTGTCGCATCCGCCAAGACAATCTTCAGGCTCGAAAGCTTCCCCAAAGTAGCCCAGAACCTGAACACGTCTGCAGTCGCTCTTGTTCTCGCAATACTGCACCATCTTAGACAGCATCTGATGCTGGCGGTCCTTCTGGTCCCAATTGCCTTCGCCGTCATCGATCATCTTGCGAAGCTTGCCCGCATCTCCGTAGCCATAGTATAAATAGCACGCAGATGGCTTGCCGTCTCGGCCCGCCCTGCCAGTCTCTTGGTAGTAGCCCTCCAAAGATTTAGGAATGCTGTGATGAATTACGAAGCGAACGTTGCTTTTATCGATACCCATACCGAAGGCGATCGTTGCGACAATGACATGGACATGTCCAGCCTGCCATTCTTTTTGCACATCAGCCTTCGCGATCGAGTCCATGCCTGCGTGGTAATGCTTGGCTTTGATACGATGCTCGTTCACCAAAGCGGCAGCAATATCCTCGCAGTTCTTTCTCGAGAGGCAGTAGATGATGCCAGTGTCCTTGGCATGATCCTTTTTGATCACCTCCGCCATGCTCTGAACATCCTGCTTTCCTTTCGGTTTTGGTAATACGCTATATGACAGGTTGGTGCGGTTGAAACTTGAAGTAAAGACTGCGCAACCATCCATGCTGAGATTGTGGATCGTATCGGATTTGACGATCTCCGTCGCAGTGGCAGTCAGTGCCATGACCGGGACACCAGGAAATCTTTGCCGCACCTCGCCAAGGTTCTTGTAGTCGGGTCGGAAGTCGTGACCCCATTGACTCACGCAGTGAGCTTCATCGATCACGATTCTGGCCAATTTGCGCTTGCGATGGAGTCCTTCGAATGTTCGCAGCATCTTCTCGCTCTTGCCAAGCATTTCCGGCGTCACATATAACAGCTGCACCATTCTCTCGGGCTCTCTGTCCCACAAAGCATCCATGATCAGATCTCTCTCTTCTCGACTGGTCTCGGAATTGATCAACGTTGCCTGTACACCAAGCTTGCGTAGGTGTTCGACTTGGTCTTGCATCAAGCTCAAGAGCGGTGAGATCACAATCGTTACACCTTGGGTCTTCCCTGTTGGTACGAGTGCCGGAAGCTGATAAGTCAAAGACTTGCCACCTCCAGTCGGCATAAGTACGAAAACATCTTGGCCTTCCAATGTAGCATTGATAGCTTCGAGCTGGTTCTTGCGAAATCCTTTGAGTTTGAAGACATGTCTCAACACTCGGCCGACATCTGGCGACCAGCGAAAACTCATCTTCTGTCGCTGCAGCTCATCTTCCTCGGCCTGAGACTTCTTGGCAGGAGCCTTCTTTGCTTTCATGGCGGAAGGCGGTCGCATCTGACTATTGCCAGATGTCTCTGCAAAAGGCTGGCGATACACAGGTGCCTTTGACAAGGATGTATTCTCGTATCCTTCCACGAAGTCAAGCATCTCCTCATCGTCTTCCATTCCATAATCATCGTCGTTGTCATACTGCGCAGGTGGAGTGCCCATTCGGTGGCCGAAATGGCTCGTGTCAGCATCAATCATGTCGTTATCGTCTAGGTCGTCGTCATAAACATCTTCGTGGCGGATCGTACTGCACTCAGAATGATTATTTCGAGGTGGTGGCGGCATGAAATTCTGGATCTGCGTCTGTACGACTCGACTTGAGCTTGACATAGCTGGCGCATGGTCCGAGGGCTGGCGAAGTGTTGGGACTTGTGTGGACTGAACTGCCACCTTCTGGCTCTTTGTAGCTTGAGAACGTGCTTCTCTTCGACTCAACATGGTCTTGACATCCTCGCTGCAGGATTGCAGAAGTGACACGCAGTCAACTTCAAAGCGGGTCAAACGTTCTTTGCCTTCCTTGTTAGCTGCTGTGTGGGCGCTCAAGTCCTTGCTGCGCTGCCTGACTGCGAGGCCAAGAGCTTGCTTGAGGCTTTCTTTCTCTTCGACAAGCTTGCGGTGGGTGCTACGTTTGGTCTGAAGAGAAGCCAGTGCATCACGTCGGGAGTCAAGAGCGTCCAGTTGGGTCTCAAAGCTGGTGACGTCGTCCTGACCCTCATCCAATGCCTCTGTCATCTCATTGCACACAGCATCACGAAGGATCTCAATACCCTGAAGCGCTTCTTCATATGCAAAATCTGGCAGCTCAAAAATCTGTATGAGCTGCGCTTGTGATTCTGCCATTTCCGGTGCTATGACCTGAGTCAAAACACTCGCTGGCGGCACTGGCGTCGTGACATTGCTTTGGACAGGCGTAACAGTCAGATCGGGATATCGAACGGTAGGCTGTAGCGACGATTTGGTGGCAGGAGCAGCATCGGACATCGAGATTTCCTTGGTCGGACTGCGTGTCTTGGCCGAAGGCTTCTTGCTAGGAGTTGCCTCGACATTGGACGCAGGATTCAGCTTCTTGCCTGAAAGGTTCATCTTGTGCCCAGACAAGTTGAGAAGGTCGTCATCGTCCTCAGAGTCGTCCACAAAAGTTTCCTTCTTGGCAGATCTTGGAGCAACATGATATGGAACTTCTGGCTGTCGGACAGGTGTTGCTCGCTTGAGTGGCGCCAAAGTTGAATATGGGGGAGGAGGATCACTCGGTGCAGCACCGGTCTTAGCAGGGCTGTCCAGGACGATATCATCAATTGCCGTGAACTCCTGCGAGAGACGTGGTGCTTTCCTCGGCTTATCAGCGGGACGCTTAGAAGAGCCAGACGGACTACGAATGGCAAGCTCAAACTCATCGCTGGTTCTCTTCTTGCCAGCCACATCCGGCAAACTTCTCTTCGCTGGAGGACTGCATATCGAGGCAAAGTCCTCAGTCAAATCCATTTCCTCAATGTCGTCAAAACTCTGAAGCTTCTTCTGCATTGGCGTCGGTCCAATCATCTTTCCCCGAGACGTAGAAGCACCTGCCAGCTCTGAAGCGGACCGCCAGTTCTTGGAGGGCGTTCCATCGAGATGGCCTGGCACGGACGCGGCACTGTGCTGCTTGCTGGCCGATGTAGGCGCTGTTCTCATGCGGACCATGTCGTCCGAATTTTCATTGACATGTGCCAGTGCGGCATTCACCTCTCTTGGCTGCTGTGACCGCTGCTGGTGGCTTTCACTAGGAACAACTTCAGGAGGATTTGGTCTCGCGCCTGCTGGTCGTGATCCGGAGCCTCTGGAGGACGTAATTTCCTGATCAGGCTCGCTTGCAGGCGGCGGCTCAACTGCAGATGTGAATGATATCGTCGCCGGCGGCAAGTCGAGGTTTTCGGGCGGGAGAGACGGTTTGTCGAACAACAACCACAGCAGATGCTCGTTCAGGTTGTTGCGCGTCATCTGTGGCGACCATGGTCAACAGGCGTTCCAGCAGCGCGCATTGGAGTATCGTTATTCGTGTTGGTGGTGGTGGAAGTGATGTTGCCGCGGCGGAGGCTCCGAGCGCGTTTGATGTTCTTGCCTGGAACGCGCCTGCACGTGATCAAGTCTCCACTCTTTTGTCTCCACTCAGATATCTCGCCTTCCGTTCAAATATCGAATATCGACTCACCGTAAACCACCGAGGAACAAACCACAAGATGGAGTCGGAAGATCGACCCCGAAAGATGCGAAAGCTGTCTCCAGACGTGTCGGAAGATGCAATCCAGGCAGAGCCAAATCGCAACCGAGGAAAACTTATTAGCGACGTTGTTGTTGGAGAAGTGACCAACGGAGCCAAGGCAGAGCCGGATGGCACAGATGTCCAGATGAACGGGTCAGCGGAACGCGACGACCTAGATCAAGACGGTTTGAATTCGGAACCTGCTGCTGTCGAAGGCTCTGATCAAAAGTCTCTTCCCATCCCAAGTGAAGTCATCCCGGCAGAGGCAGGAGAGGTCGATGACCGCGAGGTCCCATTGTCAAAATCCCAGCAAAAGAGGCTTCGAAAGAAAGCTGAATGGGAAGCGAAGCGCGAAGATCGCAAAGTCATTCGAAAGGAGAAAGTCCAAGCCAAGCGTGAACGCAAACGCGAAGCCAAAGAACAGGCCCTAGCAGAAGGACGACCCATTCAAGTTCCCAAGCAGCAAACCCACCAACGAGCTGTTCAGCTGCCAGTCACATTCTTGATCGACTGTGATTTTGATGACCTAATGCGAGACGGCGAGCGTATCTCGTTAGCATCACAAGTCACGAGGTGTTATTCTGACAACAGGCATGCTCCGTACCGCGCGCATCTGACGATTTGTTCTTTCACGGGAAAATTGAGGGAACGATTCGACACGGTTTTGACGCAGAACTATAAAGGCTGGAGAGGAGTCCGCACTTTCGACACCAACTTTTCTGACGTAGCCGAGAAGGCCAAGGAATGGATGAGCGCTGAGGATCAAGGCAACAAGATGGCTGGTGTCTTCGAGAAGTATGCAGACATCGATGATGAAGCGAAGCAGAGACTAAAGGACGAGGGAGAAGTTGTCTATCTGTCTTCCGAGGCTGACGAGGATCTTATGGAGCTCAAGCCATACAGCACTTATATCATCGGCGGGCTGGTTGACAAGAATCGCGAAAAGGGTATATGCTACAAACGAGCGAGAAAAGCTGGCATCAGGACTGCAAAGCTTCCCATTGGCGAATTCATGGAGATGCAGAGTCGGAAAGTCCTGGCCACGAATCACGTCAATGAGATTATGATTAAATGGTTGGAGTGCGGTGATTGGGGAGAAGCGTTTGTGAAAGTCATTCCGAAGCGGAAGGGTGGAAAGCTGAAAGGGGGTGAGAAGGATGAGGACAGTGCTGTAGCCAACGAGAATGGTGCCGAGCAAAGAGATGAGGCAGAGGATGACGGCAAGGCTGTTGCTAGTGATTGAATATAACAAGACAAGTTGTAGTATGTGTATCATGTGTATCATCTCCGTAGAGGCGAGCTCGCACAGAGGGAAGGTAAACCGAGGCTTTGTCATCCCGTCGAGTCCAGTCGGGCGAGTCTCGCACTTTCTCACCACTTTCCACTGAAAACTGTCATGTGGGGCGCAGGCGAAGGCGCTCTTCCAGGTCCGGAATAGCTCTGATTGGGGCACAATGGCAATGGCATTTGTAAGGCATGACGTCCATCTCATGACGCCTTTAGTATAACCTTACGCGGGCGATAGTAAGTAAGGCGTAGGAGGGGTAGAGTTCTATACATTGACATATATCCTCTGTGAATGAGCGCGAGGGCAATTGCGAAAATTACAAGTACTCTGTCATCAAGACTGTCGACAGCTAGGAACGTCCCACGTCTCTCACGAATCGGAAGCGCAAACATGACGACCACGACGTTCAGACACATCGACACAAATTCCTACACCGGCAAGCCATGGGGCAAAGTCGACGGCGACGGCAAGTCGTTCAAGATGGAGTGGGTCGAACGGCCTGTGCACAACATTCGAGGTCATGAGAGCGAGTTCGACACGAACAACTCGGGGTTCGCGGTATACAACTACCCAGCAAAAGAGAAGGCATTCACAGACGACGAGGCAATACGCGAAGGCTACTACAAAGAAGTCGAGAAACTGCTCCGCGAGAAGCTGCCCGGGATAAAAAAAGTCCACATTTTCGACCACACGATTCGAAGACGGGAGAAGGCGTCACCACGTCAGCCAGTGCAGCAGGTCCACGTCGATCAGACTCCCGGCGCAGCAGACGTGCGCGTCAGACGGCATTTGGGCGATGAGGCGGAAGAACTTCTGAGAGGTCGCTATCAGATCATAAATGTTTGGAGACCAATCTCGCATCCAGCATCTGACTTCCCACTCGCGGTTGTTGACTGGCGCAGTACAGAGCCTGCAGATTTCATCCCGGTCGACCTGATGTATCCAAAGCGCGCAGACAGCGTTACGGATGACGATGATCGAGGAAAGGAGATTCTTCCAGATCCGAATTCTATGGATAGTACAGCTGGGTACGAAGTCAAGGGCGAGACGCTTGGTGTGCGCGCGAACACGAATCATAAGTTCTACTATCAGAAAGATATGACCCCGGACGAGGTGATGCTGCTCAAGTGCTACGACTCGTATGGCAATGATGAGCCGATGGGTAAGAAGGGCATTGCTGTGAGGACACCACACACTGCATTCGTGGACCCCAACACGCCGAAAGATGCGCCTGGACGACAGAGTATTGAGGTCAGATGTTTGGTATTCTATGAATAGATGAGAAAAGTGAAGACTGGTTGGATATATGAGCGCGTTCGGAGCATCATAGTCCTCTTCAAATCTTCCGCTGCCCAGAATGACACGAATTCACGACCAGAGCGGACAAGATGTAGAACAGCTACAAGACCCAGCTGAGCGGAAAGTGGGAGTTGATTTTCATATCTCATTCATTTCGCGTATAATGTGGGATCATAGTTATCATCCCAAAGCTCAAGAACGCCCTTTCCCCATCTCTCGCGACTTAGATGGACACGTTAGCACAGCTGAAAGCCGGCTTGACAGCGCTCGAGTAATCTGCAATGATAGCTTTAACAGCAGCATAAAGTCCTGGACCAAGCAGGAACAGACCAACGACCATCACAAAGATGTGGATGACAGTCATGACTGATCGGCGAGCTCCACCAAAGAAGTTGCCCTTGTAAAGCTGGTAGTAAGCAACGGCAAAGAATATGAAGCCGAAGAAGGAGTCGAATGCAGCACCAAGCAGGGAGAGGAAGTCACCCATCGATGGAATGACTTCAGCGAAGACAAAGGCGACCAGCCAGACAACGATCATAACAAGAGCCCAGACACCCCAGCCGATGACGGTGTTGCTGTGTTGGTGGCGGGACTTGCCCATGATGAGCTTGTGGTAGATGAACTTGGCAGAAACATTGGCGTAGATGACACCGATGACCAGAGTTGGGACGATGACGAAGGCGAAGGATGCCTTCTTGTAGGCGGTCACGCCCAAGCTGCCGAAAGCCGGTGCGGTCGAGTACTGGCCGAGATAGTGGAAACCTATGGCTGGTGGGACGATGAAGAGGAAGGCGGAGAGACCGGCGAGGACAGCGAGGGCTTTGGGAAAGTCTTGTGGGCGCTCCATCTCGGCGATGAAGGTTGGGAAGAGAATTTGAGGGACCTGCAACGTGGAAGTCAGTGAGATGCGAACGAATTGTACGACTACAACAAAATGACTTACCCAGAGGAAGGTAATGTTGAGGACTGCATTCATGCAAGCGACCCAGGTGACAGCGTCCTGTGGGAAGGCGTATGTAAAGACTTCGCCGAGCTCTGGGTAATTGCCATTGTACCCATAGTATGGAGCATCTTCAATGCCAGCGAAGACGAGGAAGAGCAGAATAGCAATGGCCATGCATGAAGCGCTGAACATGGACATGAATGAGACATGCTTCAGCGTGCGTGGCATGCTCATAACGATACCCATAATTGTCGCGATAACGCTGAAGATGACAGTACACAAGGAGTGATCGGAGAGGGTGTTCAGGACCTTGGCGCCGGTGAGAACATGGAAGCCAATGAGCATGATATTGTTGCACAACAGCATGAAAGACGTAAACCAGTAAGCAATCTTGCTCTTTCCGAAAACATAGTAGCCGAAATCGCAGATGTCCTTGATCTGGGGGTGTTTCATGATGAACTTGTGCATTGTCAAGGATGTGATGTAGAAGAGTACACCAGCGAGAGCCATGGTGATGAGTCCTGGAACCCAGCCGAGAACGGACAGAGACCATGTCTGCGCCATGATGGCCAAGCAGACCTGGTCACCAGCGAGAAGCCAAGCGGCTTTTTGCCATGACATTGTTCGCAGAGCGATCTCATGTTTGTGGTCCTCTTCAACGAGTGCTGTGATGGAGACGTCTGCGCTGTCGCCATCGTAGGTCGTGTGGTCCAAGTCGTGCGTAGCTACGCGAGTGGTCTTCTCCTCGTCGTATTTCGCATCACCGCGGGTGGTGGTTGCCATTGTATCGAGGGTAGTGTCGACCTCGAGAGGTGTGCAACTTGTCCAGGTTGATCGAAGGAGGCCGACCGGTGCTTTCTGTCAACTCCAACTACGGATCATGGTTCCTGATAAATCTTCTACTGCAAGTGATGGTATGGGCAAGATGCGGTTGGCCTTGCATGGCGTGCTCACGATAAGCTGCGAACTAAAGGCTTTGGACCCAGGCCTGGAGTTCGGCCAGGCCGGCTTGTGCCATCCTTGCATTGATGAAGCCTTCTTCGCACGTAGTGGTGAGCCGCTAGTGAGCCTGAGGACAAAGTCTAATAGGGACGGAGCTCCATACATACCAGAGGCTCAATGGCTTCACTTGAGCCTATTGTCGCTTCCTATTCTTCCTGTATCTTCCTTACTAACCTTACTATGCCTATTATCGCGACAAACCTTACTTAGATATACTATACTTTCGCGCCTTACCTTATAATATTCTTCTTCTATCGATACCGATAGCGATAGCGATACCGATAGCGATACCGATAGTAGTAGCCGCTATAACTAGTATTCCGCGCAACCTTATTCTTAGCGTAGCTTTAGTAGCTTTAGCTTTAACTTTAGTAGCATACTTACTAGTAGGAGGAGGAGAATATTTATTATAAGTCGTAAGGCGTATCGCTATAGACTCGCTACTAACTCGCTCTAGGCTTCGACGCCCTACGACTATAAATACCTACGATTTCTAGTATTATAGCGCGTAGATATAGTAAGAGCTACTCGATTAAATAGCGATACTAGATAAGAAGAAGGCGGTACTAAACAGACTACGGAAACACAAGGCTACTAGACTTATTATAGAAACGGACTCTAGCAAGCTTATACTAGCGCTATACTACTACTGCATACGCTCTAATAACTTTAAGTATCGTATACTTAATACTAAGGGCGAGCGTATCTACGCTTATTATAAGTATAAGGGTAAGTCTAGCTATACGGCTAGTATAGAGGTTAAAGAAGACGATAGAAACAGCGAGCTAGCTACGATATAGGCGCGAGTCGAGGCTATAGAGGCAAAGAATACTATACTAGAGGCAAAGAATACTAAACTAGAGGCAAAGATTAAGGCACTAGAAGCTAGGTTTAATAAGTTAGAAGGATACTACCTCTTGTAGTTTAAATGGCTTAAGAATAAGGCTATTATTAGGTCTCGCGATGTATATACTATTTAGAAGGAGCTGTAGCTAAATACGACTCGCTAGCCGCTAGTAGAAGATGTTTAAGTTAGAGGTCGAGGTCTTAGAGATAGTAAAGAAGAAGTGCGAGTCTACTACGAGTCTACTACGAGTCTACTATTCTATCTCTTCTTCTTTAGTCGTTAACTGCGCTTTATCTTCTTAGCCTGTCCGCCGCTATTAGCCTCTCTGCCGCTATTAGCCTCTCCGCCGCTATTAGCCTATCTACCGCTATTAGCCTATCTACCGCTATTAGCCTATCCGCTACTATTAGCCTATCTATTAGTAGGTTGCTAATCGCTCGACCCTTTCGGAGTAGGCGTACCTCGCGGTATACTCGCGGTAGTATCGCTGCTTAAGTTAATAATCTCGGGCGGCTAATTCGTATCGATAACCTTCTTAGTCTATAGCTTTTCTTTCTTAATCTTAATGCTATTAACTACCTTTTGCTAACTCGCTATATTACTCGCACTAGTACTCGTAGTAATAGTACTTAACCGATGTTTCCGCTTTTGTTATTACTACTTCTCCTACTTAGTCTAGATATAGAGCTTAATCTCGTAGACTAATAATAACTTTGTTACTAGTTTATAGACCGTTAAAGCCTGTCTAAGTAATCGAAGCGCCTTACTTACTAGCTTCTCTAGTTAATTAGTTATATTATTAAAGTCTGTATAGAGGAAGTAGTTATAATAGTCCTAGGTCCGATCGATACTACTATCTAGTAGCTCGTAGGCGTTAATCCGGTCGACAATCTAGTCTATAAATATTATCTCGGCTTCGAGGAATTCTTAGTTAGACTAGGTATCCGTAATAGTAGTATATAGGTTAGGTTTACTATAGAACTATATCTCAGTTGTACTCGTAAGCTTAACTTCTATATACTAAGTATAGATTAAATAGCGGCAATAGTATACCTGTGCTTTAAGGTCTAATAAAGCTAAAGCTAAAGCTAAAGTAGGTATTAGTAGACGTTGCGAGAGGCTCCGAGATCTAGCATTTAGTATTCGAGTTATTAGCTTGTAAAACTAACTAGCAGCATTGCGTATAGCATTAGCTGCCTTAGGTATAGAGGGGAACGTATTAAAGCCTCGTACCGTACTCGCGGAGCTACTCGTAGCGGCGGCTACTAATTGCTCGCGAACAAATTGCTCGCTTAGTAGATCGGGATTAAGAAGGCCGCATTGTAAATAGTATCGGTATTTACTATATATCTTTGCATAGTCGACGCCTAATTTAGTACAATAGGTGCCCTAATTAGTAGGTATTATTAGATAAATAGAGGTAGAAATAGCAGAGGTTTAAGAAGGTTATAGATAAAATCGAACTAGAAAAAGCGACTCGCTATATACTTGCGGCCGGCTCGTAGATCGGAGATTAGTATACATTATTTGCAAACTTAATTAACCTAGCTTCCTAATTCCGAGCCGCCGCTAACTAACTACGTGCTGCTAATAGCTTATCTAACTCTATTAGTTCCGGCTCTAACCCTATAGCTATATACTCCCTAGCTAGCCCTCGAAGAAGCAAGTAGGTAGAGCGGTAAAGGCGCTCTATATTATCGCTATTCTCGCTACTACTTACTAGATACGAGAAGCTATGAATCTATAATGCTGTCTTATACTAAGAAAGCGTAGCCTCGGGCAGGTAGGCTTTAAGATCTAGGAATTAGCGAGTCTATTAGCGAGTCTATAGCGAGTCTATACTATAGAATCTAATATATACCGAATCCTTAAAGGTCTTGCTCTATATTATTAAGTGCGCCGTTAGGTACAGGAATACCTTAATAAGAATGCCCGCTAAGCTCTAGATAATAGTATAGAATATGCGGAATACCTAGCATAACGTATAGTCGATTAGCCTGCTTCCGGATACGATAGCTATTCTAGAGGTAAACAAATTCGAGGACTTTATAACGTATAATTAGTATATAGATTATAAGGAAGGCAATCCGATCCGCTAGCAGTTTAGCATCGTATAGTAACTCGCGTAGTAACTCGTAGAAATAGCCCCTCTAGCTATTTAGTATAGGTACTTGCTAACGCTACTATGCCTTAATCCGCTAGTTTATCTTACTCGTACCGTATTTAAAGCAGTCCTCGAAGGCTAGCGGTTGTTCCGGATTACTACGAGTCGTAAGGCGAGTCTTATAGTAAGTATCCGCGGCTAGAATCGTCTCTACCCTATAGTCTAATCGAATAATCTATAGTATTATACTACTATTCCGGATCGTTATAAGGTATTAAGCTAGTATAGAGACAGCTGTCCGGCTAGTAATGCCTATATAGATCTAGACAATATAACGCGAGTAAATATTAATCGCTACGTAGATCTATATCCCCTAATACTCGAATTTATAGTAAGTATCTATTAATATTGCGTAACTAGGGCCGGGTATAATAATCGCTCTATAGTACTCTCGCGCCCGCTCGCGGCGGACTCGTAACCCTTTAGGATTTAGTAAAGAAGCTATACGATATAGCCGATCTTTACTAATAATATTGTATTTAGACCTAATATAGGTATATAGGTGCTGTCGGCTAAAGGACTCTACTATAGACTTCTCGAGCTCTTCCTATAAGACCTCTACTATCTATTCTTCCGCTTCTATCTATCTATCTATTAATAATGCCTTCTTTAATCTAAGCTCTTAACGTATCTGTTAATACCTCCGCTAGCTAATCTTAAACCTATCCGCCTATAGTACTCGAACCGCCTCTTTATTAGTTAACTATAGAACGTAGAAGGTATATACGACCCGGATCTTTAGTGCCTTAATATCGTTAACTCGGTAATAGTAAGTAGAGTAGCTATAATTAATATTCTACTCTTTAAGCCTTCGTTTAAGTATATTAAGAGATATCTAATAACCGGTCTCTTATATAAGGTACTATACGATTACTTCTCGTATAGTGCCGCCGTAGACTTAAGATATTATCTAAGCCTTCTATAGCGATAAATCGATACGTAGAGGCATTCTACGAGTCGATAGCGAGTATAGTGCGAGTCGTAGAAGGTTAAACACGAAGAATTAGGTAGTAATAGCGGTAAGAAGTATAAGAAACCCCGCATTGAGCCTCTGGTATATATGGGCCTCCCTAAATGGGAGAGCTTTCTCGGTGGCTGGCTGGGCTGGGCGAGCTTGAACGGCCTAGGCCCAACCTTGGTATACAACACCTGTAGCAGATGCGTCCTGTCTTACCTGCGTTCTTCTTGCTTCTGTGCTCAGGCCATTGCATCAGCTAGCCACAAGCAGCCTCCATGCATTCATTGTCGAAGAATGTTCTTCGCATTTGCCCATGCACCAGTGGACCGGTGCGAGGCATACCCACTCAATCGGTTCTCCAAAAACGAATACACATCAAACCGCCCATCCATCGACGGACGCCTCATACCCCAATAGCGCGCTCATCAGCATCAAAATGAAGAAAAAGACTCGGCTCAAATCATAATTCCGCTACTGTCGTCATCATCAACCCAAATCCAACCGCGTCGCCGAAGACTTCGAAGCTGCCATTTCCTGCGCCATCTCCAACGCTCTCCTCTGATTATAACCATGAATATCCGCACACGCACATCCAGAATTACTAGGATCATGCGCCAAAGCCGTGAATCTCAACGTACTCAAAGCATCCCGTAACGAGCGTTCTTCGTGTTTCAAAGACTGGTTCTGAAGGAAGACGTCTTGCGCTCTTTGCTCGAGTTCTTTGGCCGAACACTTCTTTTTTCGTCTTGTCTTTGCCGCTGCGATACGATTGCGCTCGCGGTACATGCGGAGTTTTTCTGGCTCTTCTTGTTCATCTACCTCGTCTTCTCCCGCTTCACCTTGGTGAGAGGAGGGAGTTGCGCCGAGTGATTTTGCGCGGCGGGCTTGGCCCATGTTGCGTTTGAGTCGTGTTGATGCGTGGCTGGCGCTTTCTTCGGGACCTAGAGAAGGTTGTTTTGCTGAAGCTACGGTGCGTAGTCTCTTACTTGGTGGTTGCTGCACATCTGGCCGATAAGACATGCTGCTTTGCGGAAGCTTCGAGGTTATGGAGTCAGTGGAGATTGTGATGCGCTGAAGTTGTGTCGAGTTCGCCGTGTCTTGCATTGGAAGTTGCGTGTACATTGGTGGTGATAGGTCTGGCGTGCTGGCGACTGGGGTCGCGCTTGAGACTTGTCGTGGCCAGTTGAAACCCCCTGCACCACTTGAGCTCAGTGAAAGAGCTTTATTGATTTTGATCGTGTCTTCCCATGACTGGAGGCTTTCGTTGTGCAACACTGGAAGGAGGGTTGTCCGGCAGGGTATTGGCTGAACGAGTCCAGTCATATCGTCGTCAATGCTGTGTTTGCAAGAGAAACGTCAGTTTTGCTGCTCGATATTATGAACAATAGATCAACTGCTCACACTGATCTCTCGTGATGACGGACATCTGTGGTTGGATCGAGGGTCGAATTTAGTTCGTCCATGCCCTGGCCGCTTGCATGGCTCACGACGTAATACCCTATATTTGTTCAAGGCCAGAGATGAAGCAAGTTCGATCGGGTCAAGAGTGGCGTGTCTCCGAAGGGCTACCGACTGGACGAGCTGTAGAAGGTGAAAGATGACCCTGGGCCTGTGCGATTGAAAGGTCTCAGGCTTGTCGGCTCAGAGACCCAAGATCCCGATTGTGTACCACCACGGCGAGTGGAGCAAGGGCAGTGACCATCTCGCGCGGCTTGGCTTGTCGAGTTTCTCGGCAGATACTGCATAGCTGCACCGCAGGATCGATGCGGCCGCTACGTCAAGGCTCGAAGAGGTTTTCTCCGATGTTTGGGCAGGAACCGAGCCGTGACAAGCAGACGATTGAAAGGTGAGTGCACTCTCTGACACCCTGGTTCGAGATACTGCGAAGGCATGTCTGGGTTCGAGGTTAGCGTAAGGTAACACGTATGATCAGAAAAGCAGATTTTAAGCGACTGCGGGATACCATCACGCGCATGCGATTGTACCGGCCCTGCGAGGAGTCGAGGACAGGCGCTCCCCTTCGCTGGATGGATGGCCGTAAAGGCAAATCCAACCAAAGGGTACCAGAGCCGCGGGTTTGGCAGGCCGGTATTCTACCCAGCACGTCCGCACGTTATGCATAAAAGGAGAGGTTTTCTTCGGAGCGAAGCACGCCAGCAAAAATGTGTCGACGCTTGTGATCAAGCTACTTCGGGATACCTGCAAGGATGGCAGACCTGTTCACGAAGGCAGAGAGGCCTGTCGTAGCCAGTGAAACAGCGACAGACTGAGTCAGCCCAATCATCAATCGAGCAGTATAAACACACCTTTGCGCGGGGATGCGGTCTGAAATAACTGTAAGATTTCAGCAATCTCAACGCCAACTATAGGCGCTATTATCTACCGTACTATACCCGTATATTCACTATATACTATTGCAAATTAGTCTTCAGTATAGATCTACCTACCGTAGAGGTTTCTAAATCGTAGGAGTCTACTTTTGCTATAGGATCTAATAGGAACAGTTACTAAGCGGTTCGGAGTAGGTCTACCGCACCTCCGACTTTATACAATGCACGATACTGCTTCCTTGCTTCCTTTACGCTCCTACCTAAGTCCTTTATATACCGATCGTACGTTTCGATATAGTAGAGACAGCACTAGCACTAGCACTAGCACTAGCCCTAGCCCTAGCCCTAGCAGAAGAGCCGCCGTAGCGGCTACTACTAGAAGCACCGGTATATATCCCCTATATAGATCGAAGCATATTGCTATATAGCATTTAGTCTATATAATATTATATTTAGCGTTAGGTTTAGCGTTAGCTAACTTAGAGGTTCAGAATTCAGCTTTAGCGTTAGGTTTAGAATTTAGCTAAGAATCTAGCGAAAACCTTTATTTCATTCTACTACGACTATATCTAATATAGGCACCTCTACACTATTTATTTATTCTATTGTTTGCTAAGCCTTTATATATAAACAGGCGGCGGCGGCACTTTAGTATAGTAGCTAATATATTACAGTTGCGAGAGCTGTTGCGTTTCTATACGAAATACCCCTATATACGATTACCTACTAAGTCCCTTCCTACCCCTTTAACTACTAAGTCTTAAGCCTTTAAAGCTAAGACTAATAAGCGTGATTTACTTAATTAAGCGTTTAAATGGATGCATTTCGAAACTAGTAGACATAAAACAAAGGATAATATTATTAAAGAAATTTATAGAGCGACTATATTTAAAGATAACAAATTGCTATATACTTAGGCTCGGAGCAAAGCTCTTAATATACGAGTTACGAAGTCGGAGACTATTAAAAATTGTCGTGTAAGTTAATCCCTAATTACCTATTTAGCCCGCTATTTAGCCCGCCTGTTTACATCTTTTTCTTTTTGCTTAACTTACGAGTTAAGCTGCACTTTTGGATTAGTCCTAAACTTAATAGTTCCGAAGCCTACTAATCTTTAGTATAATCTCGAATCTTCTAGTTCTAAACCCTCTCTTGTTTCGAGAATTTATAGATATAGCTAACATATATATAGAAATACGTCTAAAAGCTAATAGACGAGGACGCGTCCCTTATAGGACTAAATAGTAAAGAGACGCTCGAATTTTTCGACGAGCGCTTTAGCGAAGACGAGTTCTTCGTTATGTGAGTTAATTATAATGCTAAAGCCTTTTTTCCTATTTTTTTTGATATAATATAATATGCTTTCCTAATAAACGATGCTAATCTAGATATATAGCTTTAAGTATATAAAAGGTCGCCTAGATATTAACTAGTCCGGCCCTTAGGGCTAAGCCTTCTGCAAGTGTATGTTATTTAATATAGCATAGCTACAATGCCGAGTCTATAACTCTCGAAGCCTTATTTATTATAAGCTTTATAAATCGATACCTCCGAAGCTTTACAAATCGATACCTCCGAAGCTCCGTATAAAGAATCTAGCTAATATACTAATCTTCTTTAGGGTGGTATCGCGCTCTGTGCTCGGAGGTAGCTGCGGCCACTCGAGCCGACAAGAAGCTTAGTAAGCTCCTAATACTAACTGTTGTATATAGATAGAGCTAATAGTATATAGGCTAGCAATGCGCTAATGCGAATAGAGCCCTCGTAGAGGCATACGACAGCTACCCGTAAGACCTAGCATTTAGCATCTAGTACCTTACATCTAGTATCTAGTAGCTAATTGGTATATACAGCATTAACGAAGATTTCGATAGGGTAGTGCGCTCCGACTTCGCGGTAGTTATACCGAGGAAGACTAGCGCTAGCGACAAGGGTCGCAAGGTATATATCTATAGGGTAGCTTTCTAGTTACATAGATTCTAGATATGCTAACTATATAATAGAGAAAGAACCTCGCTAGCGCTAAGCGCGCTAAGAAGAAGCTAATAGTCCTTCCGCCTCTAAAGGCATAGGCCCTTTGTTATTTTTTTATATTTCTATATCTCTATATATTTTTTTTAGATCTTAGTAGAGCGATGGCGCTAGCGGGCTTGCTATCTTTTTTAGGCTTCGCTCTGTATTTATTTTAGCTTATAATACCTAAATAAACTATCATTAATATACTAACTACTGCTCCTCTAGGTCTACTATATTGTATATATAGCATTAACAGGTCTATCGATATCGATATTTAGCAGCGCGAAGTCTAGCCGTTCCGATATCTTAGTAAGCAAGTAAGTAAGAATAGGCAAAGAGCACAATCGTATCTACAAGACTTAGACAAAAAGACAAACATAGCTTAGACAAACCTCTATTTACGCGTCTGTTTTGTCTCTACGCGTACTAGGCTTAGCGCGTCAAAGCGCGTATGTGCCTTCTATAGCAAATATATACACCTCTACTAACCTCTACTAACCTCTACCTACCTCTATCTAAGTAAACTCGCCCTCGCGACCTTTAAGCTTGCTCGAGACATATTAATCTAGCAAGCTATACGTTTTACCTTCTTACCGCTAGGCGTCCTAGGTATTCAGCCTAACCTATAAGCGACAGTATAGCTAATAGTACCCTCGACTAGCAGCGCTGCTATAATTTCCGCATCCGCCGGAGGTACAATAGTAGCTAGCCTTAGAGTATATACTCCGACTAGAACGAAGCGCGCTCGAGAAGATAATAAAGGCGCTAAGGATAAAGATTAAGATAAAGATAACACTGCTACTGCTATAGACTCGAGCGTAATACTAGGCATAGACGACATTATCCTAAGCATTAAAAGCGCCGATAAGGAATTAGTCTAAATAGAAGCTGCTAATCCTATAGTACGTATAACTACTAATATGCTTAGCCTATAGCTCGCATTAGTACAAGCAGTTAAAGATCCTAACTAGCCTACTGTCGAGGAAGTTGTTAAAGCAGCGCAGTATTAGGTTTAGGTTTAACTAGACGAGGAGCCTCTTCGGGTATAGGAAGCTACTGCTTTGCCTAGCTAAGAGTATATAGAAGCCGACGAAGAACAAGCGCCTCTAGCTTAGCAAAAGGGTAGCCTTATATTGCTACTACCTATACTAACTACAATTGACTAGTCTTAGCTCCTTAACTAGAAGAAAGGCTACAAGACTAGCGTTATTAATAACCTCGAGATAGCCTTCGGTCTATAGCTTTAGGATGTTAGCATTTTACGGTCTAACTATGCTTTACTATATAAGATCTTTACGACTCTCGTACTAGGCAGCAAATTATCCGACCTTCTAAAGTCAATTAACACGATTAAGCTACATCTTAAATCAGTTCTACCGCTACTACCTTTACGCTATTAGGACATCCTTCTATAGAAGCAGAAGACACTACCTACTATACCTAGAGCTTACGACATTAAGACGTCCGAAGCGCTTTACTTCTTTAACCCTTAAGAGCTGTTTGTCCGCATTCTTAGCTCGAGTACGAAGAACCTATATAATAGTCTTGCCGAGCTTATCGAGGTGCTATACGAGCTATACTAATCCCGGGCATAGGCTAGCTCTATTCGCACGACGTCTAGAACCTTCGCTCGATATTCTAGTAGTATATCTTCGCCTCTAGTTTATAGCGAAGGGCCTACGCGTAGCATTGCAGAGCTATACGAGCCTAAGAAGAAGAAAGCAGCTCGAGGTAAGAAGATCGCTCGGACTATAAACGCTAATAATAAGACGCCGCCTATGCCTACGCCTCCTATCGATTAGTATTAGTTTATTAGTGTGCCTAGCGGACTAGTATTTCTATTAGACTTTGTCCGATTTTTATACTACGACGCCTCCTATAACTATAGGAATACCTAGTCTTATACTAGGCGGGTCGTTTCGGTATAGATTAATAACCGTAAGCCTACTAAGCGTAACCCTCGAGGAGATTATAACGGACCTAAAGGCTCTATAGTTGTCTAGGTAGTACCGCTAATTGCTTATAATGCCTTGCTAGCGTATATACGATAAAGCCTCGCTAGAGACTATCTTAGTAATAAGCTTTTCTAGGTCGAAGGCTACTTCTATATCCTCCTCGAATCTAACTTGCGACTATTCGATCTTAGTCTTATCGCTGTACACTATCTGTACGAGAGCAAGATCGAGTATACGACCCTACTATAGGACAAATTCGACTTTATAGTCCGCCGTATTGTCGGTTACAATAGAAGCGTTCGGCTAGTCTATAAGACCTATCTAATTCGTAGAGAATTAGAGATTATAACCTATAGTCGGCGGAAACTCCTAAAGTTCGACTTATCTAACCTAAAGGTTATCTTAGCGCTATTCTTAATGTTTATTAATAGCTTTAGTCTCTATCGGAATATGCACCGCTTACTAATAGGCTAGTATATTATTATAGCTAGTCTTACGATGCAAGAGCGCAACCGAATATCTAACATTGTGCTATTTACGCTTAGTCCTTATAGTAGCAATACTAAGGACGTTATCGGTACTATCGCCCTACGATTAAAGAGCCTCGATATTAGATAAGAGCTTAAATTGCTAGGTAGCAACGCGCTCGTCTACGCCTTTCCTTTGTATTACATTAGAGATATGCCTTAGTAGCAAGAGAATTCAGGTATGCTCGGTCCTAGAGCTAATGTCTCCTATCGCTACTGCTATACGTATACTAACGATCGAGGCAACCTAGACTTAGACGTTTCAGACCTTCGTTTTTACTACGAGAACGAGCGTATTAGGCAGTACATGTCCTATATAGTAACAACAACACGAACGACTTATAGTCGCTAATATAGTATACTTAGCGAAGCTCTAGCACTCTAGTAGCTATCCCTAGCCCTCGATATTATCCTTATACGACTATTAGATCCGACCCATTTAGAGTATAAGGGCATAACTAGAATGTTCTATAGTGTTCTCCTCGCCGAGATTCTTACTAATAGCGCTTAGATTAAGTACGGCAAGATAATCTATACGTTTCCTATACCTCTAGGCTAGAACCGCCTACAATCGCTACTTTACTACCTGGCTTAATATAGTCTATCTAAGCACGCACGTTAGTCTATAATAGCGCCGATACTAGGTCGTATATAGCTTAATAATAGCTATATTTAACTATCGTTCCGAGAGGCCGTACGGGAGTTGGCTTCGCAGTAGGGCACTATAATAAATCAAATTGCTAATAGCCTTGCCTAGTAGCTACAACTCGAAGCTAATAACGTTCTAACATTAGCTATTATTGTTCGTTTCCTCGCTGCTCTAGCGCGCTCGAACGTATATCTTATGTCTAAGAAGATTACCGCCTAGTAACACATCGACTATATAACTAAAATAATTGCTATATAGCGAATCTTCTAGGAACTTATAGAATGCGCTACTATTTCCAATATTAAGAACCTATATATACGACAACGTAGCCGGGGCTACAGTATCCCTATTGCTAGCACTAATCTTAGCTAGACGCCTAGTCTAGACTAATAGCCGAAGGAGACTAAGGGCGCGGCTAAATATCGTAGTATAGCAAAGCGACCAAATGTCTATATTAGATAGCACTACGCAGAGACTATCGCTGAGTATACTATAGCAGGCAACCTGAATGTACTCGCTAGCGAAGCTAAACATAAGACGATAAAGCAACAGATCTACCTTACTAACTAGCATAAGCCCGAGAAGGACCTTCTTAAGCGGCAAGGTCTTAAAATAACTATACGACTACTGCTCTAAGGTGCCTATAAGCATAAAGAGCCGGAGCTATTATCTTAGATCTACGACATCTTCGACAAGAATCTATAGCTCTTCGATAGTGTGCTGCCGCGGTCTAAGCAAGGGACTAATAATCGCTCGGTCCTTAACGGTACGGATACGATTCTTAGTAATTATAGAAACGTCGCTACTAGGGATCGCTTGTTGCAGTATTACTATAAGGACTTCTTACTTCTTCCTATCCGCAACGATAGTATAAAGAAGCTATTCAAAGACGCACTAATTAGCGCCTACTAGTATAACTACAATCGGACGAACTGCATACTAGACAATAACGATGCTATATACTAGTACAAGCGCTTTGCCTTCGATGACAAGCTTAGCTAGCGCCGGATTGTCCTTCGCCGCGGAGATTTTGTTCGATACCGCGGCAGTAGTAATAATCTTAGACGCATCGATTAGATCTTTATATACCGTACGGCTCGTAGCATCTTACTCTTTACGCTTATTACTATCGCTTAGATAGACCGCAAGGACCCGATACTGTAGCTATCTGTATACAAGCTAAGTAGTAAGTAGGTTACAGTTAGTATTAACAGCATCGATAGCAGCAAGATTTGGATAGTACTAGTAACTAGACAGGGCCTTTAGATAACTAAGGGCAAGGCTGCTATTAATATAAGAAGCAGTAACTGTGCCCTCTTCGTCGATTAGGACCTATAGTTCCTCTAAAGGTAGAGTATTACAGCATTATCAACTAGCGCTATACTAACCGTATCTAGGCATGCTTGCGTCTATATTGTCATTTAGCTTGATTAGGTATGCTTAGCTCCGCCTTAACAGCAGAAGATTGAATACTAAACAATAAACAGGCTAAGCCGACGCGCGGCGCGAGACTTACACGCTCCTTATAGTATACAATCTCTAGCAATACAGAATGCCCTTTACTAACTAGAAACTAGACCCTTTATACGGTTCTTTATACGCCTTTTCCTTTTTAGTAAGTCCGAAGCTAACATCTACTTTAATAATCGCTAACTTTAAGTATAGACCTCCTTTATATCAATCGAGCTATTCTACGACTAAAGCCTTCTACTGCGACTGAAGCCTTCTACTACGACTGAAGCTATTCTACGACTAAGCCTTCTACTGCGACTAAAGCCTTCTACTACGACTGAAGCCATTCTACGACTAAGCCTTCTACTACGACCGAAGTCTTCTACTACGACCGAAGCTATTCTACGACTAAGCCTTCTACTGCGACCGAAGTCTTCTACTGCGACCGAAGCCATTCTACGACTAAGCCTTCT